GCCTACAAAGCAACCCAGGCACAGCAACATCATGCCTCCAGAACCTTGCAGGACGATACCCAATTCCACAATGGGGCGCATCGCGACCCCAGTCTATCATTGACCGTGCCGCTGTCGGAAAACCAGGGGTTATCCAGCGAATATGGCGATATGGATGTTGGGGAGCTGGATGCAATGGTGCTGGAGGATGGAGACGAGGTTCTGGAGAATAACGGTGCCATGGAAGGATTGGAGCGCCATGAAGCTCCCATAAGGCAGCCTGAAAGGCATCCTGATCAGCCAACCATCCCTCAACCCCAACCGCAGCCCCAGGAAAGACACTATGCTTCACATAATGGCGGCAATGTTCGTGGTGAATCGCATAGCCTGGCGGACGAAGTAGCGCAATTGAGAGCTCGTGTTGAAGAGGTACGGCCACAACACTGTTCTTGAAAACGTGCAATGGCTGACTATCACGTAGCTTAGTCGCCAAAATGAGAGAATGGAGCAGGAGCTGGTTGCAGCCAGGAACAACGCCCAAGCCAAGGCAGGAGAGGCTGCCATCTTACGTTCCAATCAAGCAAATCTCGTCAAAGAATACGACCGCCAAATCGCTGCATTACAAAAAAGACTCACCGAAGAAACGGAGAAGCACAAAGGAGCGCTTCAAGCTGCGGAAGCCGACAAGGGGAATCTCGCCACGGAGAACGCGTTTCTGAGGCAAGATCTTCGCGAGGAAACTTTAAAGTTGCATACCTTGAAGGCGAAGAACAAGGCAGAGGAAAAGGCCCCGCCTGTGACGCCAAAGAAGACAAGAGTCCTCCCTTTTCGAGATGGATTCGAGGATGATGAAATGGCAGTCTCGTCCCCTACGAAATCTCCCGGTGGCCGGTCCAGACGAGGAACTCCCGTCGTCCCTGGAAAGCGGAAGAGAAAGGCCAGTGATGACAATCCCATACCGATTGCGTCACTCGAACTGAGTCCTGCAAAACCCCCGGCAGTGGATGAAGCTCGTCCAGTAGAAACAGAACAGACCGCACATGGCAAGGTTCGACCAACCTTTGGGGAGGAAGACTGGAATCTACAGTATATGCAACGGATCTGGAACCACCGGACGCCTCCAAACACAGAACGGGATATCGAAGTTATGGCGAGGATGGCATTCCCCTCTGAACCAGGCCGGAAGCTTTCTTCGATTGTACTGGAAGAAGCATCCGTCCTTGGCTCAGGTAACTACGCGGTGGGTTTTGCCAATATCATTATTTCTTTGTGGTCGCGTGCTTTGAAAGAGAAGTTTTACCAGCCGATCCCTATGTTTATGGCGATAATAAAGTTCATTCTGCTCCTGGATACAGCGTCGATCGCCCCAAAGCTGATCGAAAATCTTGTTCCTGTTCTTCAAGTCTCTGTGGAAGTCAACGCAACTCCTCGGTTCGAGCATTCTCCTGTGTCAAGTCGCAGTAAGGGGCAGATCCGACAGACCCCGCGGTCGGAACTTCATGACGAAGTTGACTCGACGGAGGCTCTGGAAATTTTGTATCTTATAGCCACAACGTGCCGCAATGATGAGAGCCTCCAAGAAAACTTCTGGAGAAGTATTCGATTCGATTTCATACTAACGATGCTTAACTGTCACCAGCTGGTCGACGATATCATCATTACCTTGAATATTCTGCCGACGAGCATTCGTCCGAATTCTTTCGGGAGTATCCAAGAAACCGAGGAAGAACAGAGAAAAATCGAGGGATATCTTATTGATCGGGTGGCGAATCTTTTCAGTGAGAACATCCAGGTAGACGAGGGCCGGGAGCCGTATCGTCCCTCGCAAATCTGCGAGATGCGTCTTGAAGCGTTGGCATTTTTCGAGATGCTGGCCTTTTCAGCTCCCGATCCAGCAAAAAACCATGGCAATGCCATGATCGCCAATCATCCCCTCGTGCTTGCTCGGCTCTTTCGGTCGATGCACGATGAACTGGATGCCCTATATACCGAACCCCCAGAGCACAAACTCCGCACGGCACTCGTGAACAGACTGATGCACTTGATATACGGGGTGATCCAGAACAACGGTGGCGTCGACCTGCATTCCAAGCTGCGACTTCTATCGGGTGCGACACAAAAATATCGCATCGTCCTCTCACGACTCGCGTTCAGCGAGGGCGTGTATCTGGAATCTGGGATCTCCGAAGAAACGATGGAGATGGCTCGCCGCTTGCTGGAAGACGAAGACATGGATCCTGAGGAAGCCGAGGCTATATTTGAGGCCTTTCCCAGCGGCGGACGTCTCAGTAGCATGGACGATTCACAGCAGAACGAGTGAGCGCGACTGCTGACTTCATTTGCATATATACGGAGTTAATAAGAGGGACAATAGAACGGGAAATAGCTATGCATGTAGAGCTATATTTTTCGTTTTTCTCAGCGATGATGAGATATGAATGAAATGAAACCAGATACCCTTGATGACAAATGTGTACGAATCCTTCCATATAACAATGCAACATGTGTAAATTAGAACTAACAGGCCATATTTCTCTATTGCCTTTCAGCAATCTCAATGTAAATGTGACACAAACACACACCCACACAACAACAACCCAGGAATTTGACAATACAGTACAGATGACAAAACAAGAACACACCCTCTCTTTTTGTTTTCTCCCCTTTTTTTCCCTTTTTTTTTTAATTACCGACGACTGAAGAAAGACGTAATAGCAGACCAAATCTCCGGAATGACCCTTAACAACTCAAACACAAGTCCACCACAGATGACAAAAGCAAGGAGCACTAGTTATAAATCGTCCTTGTTAGTAAAAAACACAAAAGACATATCTTATATAATGCGATATAAGTAAGTATGTAATGTATGTAAGTAACATACCTACCCACCCCGTCGAAATGGGGGACTTTAACTTCTCTTTCTGCTTGAGAGCGCTCTTGGGCTTGCCGTGCTTTGCGGCCTCGTGGCGCGCATATTTCTCATTTGCGCGCTTTTGTTTTGGTGTTTGGACCTGTGGTTTGTAACTCTTTGTTTTAGTATGTCGATTATCAAAGTAGTAGGTAAGTATGTCGATAATGTTATAAAAAAAGATTGGATGATGATGATGTTTACCATAGTTATGTATGTATGTTTATTATAAGTATACTTGGCCTCTTTCTTCCTTTCTTCCTTCCTTTCTTTCTTGGAGGCTGGATAAAATCACACAACCTGATAATCTTTTGATGATCCTTAAGTTCTCAAGATCCAATTGCTGAGCCAGTCGAAATTAAAAGTGAGAAAAGAAGAGAGGATGTGGCCAGATCGTGACTTTACGTATTAAAGGGGGTTGGAGAACTGGAGCTCTGTTAACAACTTAACAGTATGGTTATTTCCAGGTGGCCAGTACTTTAGACTCCGTACTAAACGGGCCGAACTTGGTTAATTACTCCTATTTACGGAGAAGATGACTAAGCTGTGATATCACGCTATTCCTAATGAAGGAAGATACCAGAGTTCTCGCCACGCGACAGTTGAAAGCAAGTTGATGCGTCTCGACTCACGAAGACGAGGACTAGGAGTAATAATTTGACTACTACGTACTGCGTGGAATTCTTACAAGATAACGGTCGCATTCTAAGAGGACAACAGAACTATGGCAATACAGGTTATACGAACTGATTAAAAGGCCATGACCTACGAGGTCAAAATAGAGAGCGCTTTAACACGGTAAAATTGATTACTGCCTAGCTGAGCTAATTACTCCGTAGATACACTCTCAGTTTGGGGAGCACACAAGCTTGTCAAGATGGAATAGGACAAGAGAAGAGGACACACTAAGACTGCAGTCGAGAGACTAAAACAGCCTGTATATGGACACATCAAGACAGAACTCTACTCCACGACTATCTCTTCTCCAAGCCCTCGCTCAAGGCCAGGGATTGATGAAAAGATAGAGAGTTTCCACAAAGTGGATAGGGGCCAAAGAATACGCCTGCCAATGACCCGAAGGCCGTTGGACGGATTGTTCCGCCACGCTGTGCAATGCAGGGACCAATCCGTGGTGGACCGCCTTCTTGATCGCAGCCACCCAAACAAGGTAAGTATGAGGAAAAGAAAGAAAGAAAAATTCCAAAAGGACGGGGGGAGCAGCGGGTATTTATGTCTTTGGGAGAGGACGCTAAAAATTAAGCGAGGCTTTCTGATTGGTGACCCGCAATAGGCAACGATGCACGTGATGTGTTTGCATTATTTATCTTGTGTCTCAAACTGAGCAAACAATGCAGCCTTCCGGGTTTGACTCACGTGACCTGCTGAGCGATGTTTTTTGAATTCAGATTTGGAAGATCCGCGGAGCGCTGGATGAGCAGGAGAGGAGGTCGTTGTCCGGTTACTCAACGCCGTCACCATGAGGAACAGGGCTACGACGCCTTTGAGCAAGGCGGTAAGTCTGAAAACATCTCTTCTATTTTCAATTGAACCCCAATGCTATTCAGCTACTGACGTTGTGTTCCCCTTTTCCGTCAGAAAATCCGGCAATCATGGAGCAAGTATAACCTATACAACCTCTATCGATTCCGCTCTCCCCCAACTGGGAACAGAACATTCTTCCAGCAGAAATGGGCTGCCAAGTCCGTGGCTCGAGCGTACCATGGCGAGCAGGTTCGCGAGGGTCTATGGACTCGCATGTTCTCCCGCCGCATACGGAGTGTGGTCCCCATGAACCCTGCGCAACTTGCCCAGGATGATGGATCTCAGATTTCTGCTGGTCGCGGTTCTGGGTTGGAAAAGAGACCAGATGGCCGAAAATCTGCCTCCTCTCCCCCACGGACGCCGTACATGCAAATGACGTTCGCTCCGCTTGAACGGCGATTAGACGTCGCCATCTTCCGAGCCATGTTTGCAAGCAGCACGAGACAGGCCCGGCAGTTTGTCATTCATGGCGCGGTTACCGTCAACGGGCAAAAAGTACGACATCTCTTACAATGTATTGGTCGACGGTCAATGGACTTGATATGCTAATTTTCTCTGGCAGATGAGACACCCCGGCTACCTTCTCAACCCCGGTGACCTATTCCAAGTCGATCCCGAACGCGTCATGTATGCCACTGGTGCTCCGAAGGATAGGAAAGAGCGTCGCGAAGGACGGCTGGCCAGGAAGGCTGCGGCCGAAGCAAGAAAAGCTCAGGCCGAGGGCTCTGCAGAAGGCCAAGCAGCCGAAGAGACGAAGGCCCAGAACAGCGATGAGAAGCCTGCAGCGGAAGAAGAGTCCAAAGAAGTGAAGGACCCTCGAGAGACCTTGAAGACACTCCTTAGTCAGGCGAAGACAATCTTGTCGAAGGAGAAGGATGTGCTTCCGGCCAAGCGCAAGCAGGAAATCCGCGGCTTCCAGAAGGCCGTTCGAAGCGTCCTCTCTCGCTCCGGCTCGAGCACTGTTCTGGCTGACAACCTCGAAGAGCAATTTTCGGAACTCATGAAGCAGCTCAAAGTGAAGAAGGCCGAAAAGAAAGAGGAGAAGAAAGACGAGAAGAAAGAAGACAAGAAGGAAGACAAGAAGGAAGACAAGAAGGATGAGAAGAGTACCCAGAAGGACTCTGAGGCTGCTAAGAAAGCTGAATCATCGTCTTCAGAGCCGGCGAAGCAACCCGAGACCAAGGCAGCTGCCAACGTGGAGGGTGTTAGCGAGCAACTGAAAGAGGCTTTCCAGAAAGCAGCCCAGGATCCTGAGAGCCTGGACGAAGAGATGACATCGGAGCTCACGGACGAGGAACTCGATGTTTTGAAACGGGCTCTCGAGCAGCTCCGCGACAACCCGATCGACAGCACTAAGCCCTACGCGACCCCTTGGCGCCCTCGCGATTATATGAGCGCCTTTGCCTTCATCCCTCGCTACCTCGAAGTCAACCAGAACATCTGCGCGGCCGTCTATCTCCGGCACCCGGTGGCTAGACCGGGTGTTGCAGAGGTGCCCACCCCGTTCCCCGAGTCTGTTGGACAGGCCGCTTTCGCGTGGTATCTGCGCCGACGGTAGATCCGACATGCATGCATGCCATGGCTGCCAACTTTTTGTTCTGTTACGCCCTATTCAAGTCGTTTTGTATTACTGGGTTTTCCATCCGCGCGTGCTCGTAGATCTTCATGGGTCTGTCCTTATGGGGGTTTCGGGGCATGTTGACCCGGAGCGAGTCGTTTCTGGAGTTGGTTAATAACTTATGTACTGTACAACATAGCACGGTAGTTAGTGTAAATGTATAGATCTGAACTCCCTGGTCAAGTCGTGCTGTACGTCGTATACTAGTCCAATTTGAATGAGAATCCAGCTTAAATTAAGTTACTTTGAGGTGCATAGTTAAGGAGGACTGAACAAATATAAGGTCAAACAACACGATTGCTAGAATTGCCCCTATCAATATACTCCAACAGGAATTAGATTGTCCATCTACAGTACAAATTTCCTTCAAGACACTAAATAAATAAAATAACAAATAACAAATAAAAGAACATGGTAAGTAAAAAAGAAAACAGCGTATCTTGTAGAGATTACGCGTTAATATATACTTTCTAATTTACTAGCTGGGATGTATTCCTTGGCGTAATTTGCCAAGCCTTGCAGTTTCCACTGTTGCGCGCCAGGTGAAAATATCCGTTCTGAGAGAAAGAGCAGCACGCGGAGCTGCCAAGCCGTAACTTTCAGTCCTGGCGGCGAATTTTTCATTCCTTGGTCCTGGCTTTATCACCGTCTTTTATTATCAACGGACTCTGTACGTCGCGACGCGACTGGTGCAAACAAACAAGATACAGGATAATTAATATATTTACGGCCATGTTCCCGTGGCAGGGAGATCCCGCGTCGTCTGTTGGCGCCCAATCGTCCCATCATCCCTCTGGTGGGAGCACTTCATCCTTCCAGGTGCCCCAGCTGCGATGGCTCCCTTCGGTGTTGCAGCGCAACCAGAACCCTGGTTCTTCGTCTCCGTCTACACTACGGCCAAGGGTATCGTCCATCTCACATGTCGTAGACTCGCCCGCCGCAGAGACCCCTGCCGCAGAGACTCCCGTGGAAGAGACTCCGGGAGCGCAATCAGATGAGCCCAACTCGGGCAGTCGACCAAGCACCAGAGATGCAGCAGCTGCAGACACGGAAGAGCAGGACCCAGACTTTGCACCGACGCCACAGGTCAATGCTTCTGAGGCGGACGGTGCAGATAATACGACGACCTCCGCGTCCGCTTCCACGGCCATCTCACGTCCCGAGGATCTTCAAGATGCATATGGCTCTCGCATTCATGGAAAGCGCCTGACGACAAAGGAAGAGGTGTCGCTCTTCAAGATCTGTAACCGCCATGCCGCCACCTTCGGAGAGCGCAACAAGCTCTGCGAGTGGTGGAGGACAGTGACGGAAGAATTCACGCGCGAGTACGGCCATCCGTACTCGTGGCATTCCGTGCGGCGCAAAGTCGAGATCGTCACGAAGCAGCGGATGAAATTCCTTGCGGAGCAGAAGGAGAACGGCGGAGAGGACTTGTCCAACCCGCAATGGCGTGAACAGGTCGATGCCTGGATCCCGAACTGGGAGCGATTCGAGGAGGCGGAGAGGAAGCGGATTGAGATCCGCGACTCGCGCAGAGGGAGGAAGAGAAAGGATCGCTCTTCGGACGTCCTGCCCTGGCAGTCGACGCCAGAGAGATGGTCTTTCTCCAGCCCTGCCCACGCAACCAACTCGTCTACGCCGGGGACCACGGCTGCATCTGCACCTGCACCTGCGCCTGCACCACCGGTCTTCCAGACTCCACCAGGTGTGAAGTTGCCTGCTGGATACGACACCATGTTTTCGAGCCAGAGACAGCCTGCCGTTCAGCCTCAGCCTCAGCCTCAGCCTCAGACGCCTCTGGCTGGAATCCGAGACGCGGCATTAGGGGCAGACCAGAACCAGAGCGTGACATCAGCCGTGTTGGAGACTCTCAGCAAGTTGAACAAGCACTTGGACATGGCCGCCTCGCAGCAACAGCGCACAAATTCATCACCTGTTGTCTCTGCCTTGACAGGAGCAGCAGGAGCAGCAGCAGCAGGTTCATCATCCAACAACAACGAAACACCAACCAGGGGAACAGAAGACACGTCCCAACAGACGACGACGACCACAGAGAACGGGACGTCATCGCAGCAGCTACCAGCATCCGAAATCGCCAAACTGAAAGAAGAACTCAAAGAGTCGCTAAAAGAAGAACTAAAAGAGGAACTACGCAAGGAATTCGAGGCCGAGCTGAAAAAAGACCGCGCACAGCTAGAAGAGAAACTAGACTCGATTCAGCAGACGCAGGAGATGATTCTGGAGATGCTCCGGCAGGAGCCGCAGTAGTAGTAACCTAACCAACCCTTTCTTTTTGGCCTCGTCTCCTCTCTCTCTGTCTTGCCTTCTTAAGTCCCGTTTGTCTGGCTGGCTGTTATCTAGCTATATTATTGTTGTCTTGTGTTGTGGATGTACTTACTCACTGATACCCCTTCTTGCCAATCTCTCCTACTTACCGCCAGTGTCAACTTATTTTATTTTATTGTATTGTATTCATGGAGTCGTGGAGTCGTGTCATGTCATTGTCATTGTCATCGTCATTGTCCTTCTATCAATTACCTACCTAGGTAGTCAGTCGGTCTGTCTGTCTGCCTGTCAGTCTGCCCATATACACTATTATGTTAGATGACACTCAATTAATGATAATAATATACACAAGCAGTAGCAGCAGCTTTTGCTTTTCTATTGAACACATGTTTATATTCGTGTGAGATTCAATCGTACTGTACATATGTATGTAAATTACTTACTTACGTACGCTATAGCATCGCATCGCATAGTATAGTATAGTATAGGAAATGAATAAATAAATAAATGCGAGTATATGTGTATGTGTATGTGTAGTGTGTATGAGTGTGTGCATTGGCTAAATTACACATATGGAAACAAAACGAAGATATAGGTTAGTTACTATTAACTCCCTTCGTCCAACTCAGTCCTATTAACCCGCAGGCGAGGTTTATGTCTAATAGTAGAAAGTCTCGTCAACGGTACGACCCCTCATCCAGAGAGGCTCGCTGCCGCGGACATAAATGTCCTCGAACAGGATGCGGCTGGTTGGGTCCGGAGGAGCCATCTTCTCGGCCTCGGCGACCTCCTCGTCGACAAAGTTGCGCGCGTCCTTGTCGATGGCCTTGAGCTCCTCCTCCGTGACCACCTTCCAGTCGAGCAGCTTCTGCTTGAGACCCGCAATCGCGTCGTGGGTGCTGCGCATCCGCTGGATCTCCTCACGGCTACGGTACGTCGTACCGGGGTCGGACATGGAGTGACCACCGTACCGGTAAGTCACGTACTCGTACACCAAGGGGCCCTTTCCGGCGGTGGTGTACTCGCGGCCGTACTGAACGGCAGCCTTGATGGCGAGGACATCCATGCCGTTGACCTTCAGACCAGGAATGTACTGACCACGCTTGTAGTAGTCCGTCAGAGCGGAGGCGCGAGAAGCGGCGGTACCCATACCGTACTTGTTGTCTAAACCGGCCATGTCAGTCATCGCATCAATCAGGGGAAAAAAAAAATAAATGCCAGTTCAACTTACTCTCACAACCGAAGATGGCAGGCAGGTTCCACAGCTTTGCCATGTTGAAAGCCTCAAAGACCTGACCCTGGTTGGCAGCACCATCTCCATACAGGGTGATAGTAGTAGTCTTCTCGCCCGTGTATTGCTGCGCGAAAGCCAACCCGGCGCCAACAGGCACCTGCGCTCCGACAATTCCGTTACCGCCGTAGAAGTTGGGGGCGAACATGTGCATGGAGCCTCCCTTGCCGTACGCGATACCCTCACGACGACCCAGCAACTCTCCGATGATCGACCGGACGGTACCACCGCGCATGTAGGCGAAACCGTGGCAACGGTAGGCAGTAATCAGCTTGTCAGCCTTGGTGATAGCGTGCTCAATACCGACGGCGACAGCCTCCTGGCCAGTCGACAGGTGGCAGAAACCCCGGATCTTCTTTTCCTTGTACAGACGGTCCGCAGCCATTTCCATGCGCCTGCAGAAGACAAGAAAAATTGTAAGCCAGAGGTACAAGACTAGAAGAAGCAAGTCGCAGCTGTTTCGCACCTTATCACGACCATATCGTGGTACATCTGCTTCAGCTCCCTCTTGGTCGTCTCCAGCGTGTACGGAGGAGGGTCGAGCTCGTACGTCTCGAAGCTCTCATCCGAGAGCCTGACCGTGAAGGGCTTGTCATCCTCCTGGAAGCCAAAATGGTGATCAGCCTGCGTTTCAAGCAGACAATACATCAAATATAGCTTTCGCAAAAATCTCAGATTACCTGCGGGATATCTTCAGCATGCGACGAGGCCGCATCGGTGGTAACAGAGCGGCGAGCGGCGAAGGGAGCAAGGGCCTGGCGTCTCAGAGGCGCGACCTGGCGCGCCCACAAGGCTCGGGAGAACATGGCGAAGGAGAGAGAGCCCAATGGACGGTGATGAAGCAGCTGCGAAAGGGGGAGACCGCTCTTCTCTCCAGCGGAAAGTTGTTGTTGGGGACAAGCCTCGCCGAGTTCCGGCAGGGGCGTGTTATGTAAGCAGGAGCTAGACCAATTCGTCGACGCCGGTGTGAACGATGCAAACACGGCAAACTGATAGCATTTACAGTAGGTATTGTCTTGGAGGACTCAAGAGGATTAATTTAATAGATTGTATGCCATGTCATACATACATACCACAGAAGATCTTGTCTATATCTCCGAGAAGAATATACAGAAATCGCTCTATAAAGTTCGCACGCTACTGCTAACCCAAGTATATATACCAGATGTGGCATCTCCATTACCATCCCCATGGGCCACGGTGAAAAGCGTCGTGGAATCCCTGCACTGTAAAATCCAGAAAATAAACCATCAGCGGTCATGTTATAGCTTCTTCTCCTTGAGAAGACACTCACCATATCGGCCAGCAAACGCACATCCGCTATTCTCATACAACATCTCGGCCTTCGGTAGCCTGCGGTTGTTGTTAGAAATCACTACCCCAGACTCAGAGGAGAGCAGTCTTACCATCCGCGAATGGCCTCCATTCGGTTATAACTCTGCCGGCAAATCAGTTCCTGTCTTTCCCGGAAGAGAATGCAGATCTTACCGATGGGTGTGTTGATAGGAACTGGGGTGGAGCAGCCTTCTCCGCCTTTTGCATGCGAGCCCAGCTGCGTTATGAGATTAGCTGCAGCTCATTCTCACTCGATGGATGCCAGATAAGGCAGAATTTTTAAAACTTACAGTCTAACGGCAGCTTCGGGATTGAAGCACGCCTTAGACATCATCACTGGAAATAAAAGGTCAGCACAAAACGCAGTGATCTGGTCGCAATCTCGAGAACGCACGTAGCCCAATGTTATCCGCTTCAGCCTGGAAGAATAGTCAGCTGCCAGAACAAATACCCAGACACCGCGCCAGGACTAACCTCTTGCGTCCTTGAGTTCGGTAAACTGTAGAGAAGATTCATCAACATCGAAGGGATCTGCCCCGAGACATCGAACAGAGTCGAGATGGCAGCCACTACAACTAGAGCGATAAAGCTCCCGCTCATCCGCTCTGCAGGATGGTGCGCAACAACGTGGGCAATCTCGTGGCCCAACACAGCTGCCAGTCCGTCCTCGTCCTGGCAGATAGGCAGGATACCGGTGAACACAAAAACCTTGCCTCTGTGGAAGTAAGGAGTCAGACAATGCCCCTCGTCAAGAGCTCCTCAGAAACCTACCCAGGCAAAACAAATGCATTCAGCATATGGTCGTCATGTATAACATGCACTCTCCAATCCGCTCCCGGAAGCCCCGACTGAGGAATCAATCGCTGCAGGACGCGATTCACCATGACCGTGTACGGATGGTTAGCCGGGAGGATATAGCCATGGTACTGTCGAAGAATATCGCGGTAATTCCGCTCTCCGAATTTCAACTCTAGTTCGGGAGAGATGCAGTTGAAACGGCGTCGACCGGTCATCTAAAAAAAAAAAGACCGCAGCGTCAGTAAAAATAAATGACAATAACGAAAAAAAAGAAAGGCCAGGAATGACTGTCGTATTCCATCCTTACCTCCACCGTCTCCAAATTATAAAGATAAAATCCTCCAAACGCACCCACGGCCATCAACAGATATCTGTGCTGGACGTACCACGGTGGCCTGCCGGGGCCCTGGCCTTGGCCCTGCCATTGCCATTGTGGCCAAGGAGTCTGCGGCTGTCCAAATCGTTTATAAACATACCTCTGAGTCGCAGGGGCGGAGTAAGAGAAGAACCGAACGCGACTATTTCCCGCCGGACGGAAGAAGAAAGACAGGGACGATCGGCCTGTCGCGCGTTGATAGGAACTCAGCAGTCTTGGTCTTGAAGAAGATGACGCATAAGCCGAGCGACGAGCAGCGTTTCGGAAGAGGCTGAGCAAGGAGGAGGAGGAGGTTCTGGCGATGGCCTGCATCGTGCTGGTGCCGCGGAGCGCTGTAGAGTGTATGATGGACGGGTGGCTGCTGCTGCCTGCTGGTCAATCGACGTCCGCGATTCGGACAGCTGATAAAAAGAAAAGGAAAAACTTGTCAGGAAGAGACAAGTTCATATCAATCAGCAGCGCTCATTGTCGATTCGTCATGTTGTTTGGTAGGTATTCGAGGTCGGTGCTTATCGAAGCTCCTGTGCTGCGGCAGCGGCAGCAGGCGGACCGATGAAGTCAGTCCGGATCCGCAAGGCTGGACCAATTACCGGATTGGTCCATAGTATGTAGTACTAGTACAGACATGTGACGCTGGGGAGTGGAGACTGCAGCCCTCAGGAATTGTATACTATACAATCTAGACTTCTTGCTATTCGCCAAAATCTGAAGAAGAATGGATGCAAATCAATGGACGATGATAGATTCTAGTCCTAGATCATTGCACGCTCTAAACACTGCCATGCATTGAGTTAGCTGCCTGCTTCCTTAACAGGTAAGCATCTATTTGGTATGATCTAAAATCCGCAAAAAGAGTCGTACGAATACGATTGGAATCGGCCTTCTCTGGTGTAAGATACTACTACAGACCTACCTACCTAGCTAGCCCAGGTAGGCACAGTTAACTACATTTTGGACGGTGCTACTACGACTCGTTTCGGAAGTTACGATACGACTACCCAAGTTGAAATCATGAAATATTACAGAAAGGGAGAGAGAGAGATTGATGAAAAACAACCTGCGTTCAGGAAAAAAAAGCCTCAAATTTATCTCCACAAGAAATGGGGAAGAAAAACAAGGTAGAAAAAGGGGAATAATCAAACAAAGTATCACCAGGACAGAGCAAACAGAACAGATATGGACGTACAAGGGGCAAAGGGAAAAAAAAATACACACACACACACCAAAACCAAGCTGGCCACAGGGGAAAAAGCAAGAATCCAGAAAGGGAAAAAAGGAAAACCGATCAAGACAAAGGTAACGACCGAAGAAAAAAAACCAACAAGGATAGACCATCCCGGGTCAGCTAGAAACAGAATACCTCCAACCGAAAACGTGACACTCCCAGGATAATAAATACAGACAGATATACACACCCTATGTCCATCCAAAAAGAAAAAAAATATTGGAAAGGGAGCATCAGAATTGTGGCATCACGCTAGAACAGAATGGTATCATACAAGGGTGAACAAAAAAGGGAAATCAAAAAAAGGGGGGGAGGAGAAGAAGAAAAACAGACGCATGAGCCATAAACAAAACGAGCCAAAAAATAGTAGGGTCATCACAATAAGACGTGCTTCGAACTTTTTGAGAGAGGGAGAGGAGGGGAAATGTGAATCATTTCATTCTTCAGTCAATGCATCATCACCCATTTCGCGCCACTCCTTCGATCGCTCCGTCAATCGCTTCACTCCAGAGACTCTCTCCGCCCAGAGAGATTCGGACGGTGTCCTAAACGTGAAGGCCCGTTGCGAAGAGATCACACCAATGGCCTGGAGGACCGCTTTCCGCGAATCCCGTCCAAAGACCGCCGGGTGATTGATCCATTCCAGAGCCGCCTCCAGGTCGGCATCCAGAGCAGCCATGATATGTTGATCGACTGCAGCGACGGGGGTGATGGTAACCGTGTCAGACGCCGCAGACGAGTTGCCGTCTTGGAAGTTCGATGACCGTGGAGATGACGAGCCCGGAGTATCGCCGGCACTGCCCGAATCGCTGGCCCCTGGGCCCTTGGCACCGGGGGGAAGAGGAGGCAGTCCACCCTTGCCGAGACCCTTGAGGATACTGCGAGTTTCGGTCAGGAGGTGCTGAGCACGGTCGTTCTGTCCACGTGAGACGAGGGTAAGAGCCCGAGTCAGCATATCGGATGTGAGCAGCTCCATGCGGCGCTGCACAATGGATGGATGAGGCGGAATTGGCGGCGTAAGCGGTCTGCCTGGCTTGTTGTTGTTCTTGGGGTTGGGCGGCAACATGGTGATTGCCAGCAAAGACGGCCGGGGAGAATGGGTCAAGTGGCCATCACGGAGAATGTCCCCGTAGGTAAGATCCGCCTGGATCAATGGCACTTCTTCTACACTGACGACCCGTTGCTCATCGCCATCTGGCCCACCTCCGAGAGCTTCCAATCCCGACACGATGCTCTCCCACGGGTCTTGTGGTACGTGCTCTTGCGACGAATTGTCTGGCTGGATGACAAGCTGGACCAAGATATCTGTCCGTAACAAGTCAGCACTCTGGAATCAACGAAAGGGATCAAAGGACTGATGTGAAGGAAACTCACCTCTCTTATCGCCAAATCTCAAGTCACCCAGAGCGGCTTCCGCATCCTTTCCGGTAGCACGCTTGGTGGTGTGAAGCGCGCCACTGATCTTAACAAACTTCGCAGGAGAGCCCTCAGGCAAGCGCAGTTTGAGTTTGACGTTCTGGTGAGACGTGGTCTGCAGCGCGCCCAGGCATCCAGCGACACACTCCCGGAGCATCATCCAATCCTTCACATACGTGTAACATGCCTTGGTTCGGGTCGAGAGCTCGATCAGAGTGTCCGGCTTGTGGGTGAGGCCCAGGCCAAAGGAATGGATGCCGACCCTGCGACGAGAACGTTAGCAACCAGATCAACCTTTTGCTTTGTCGGAGGGAGACGCACTTAGCAGCTTCTGCTCTTGACACGACAAAATCCACGCTTTCTGGATCGGACGTGGAAGAGTCACTGATCAGGATGATGGTGGAGATGGGATTGGTCGACTTCCTCTGCATCAGCAGGTCCATGGCAACGTTGGCTCCGTCGACCACGTCCGCACGCAGGCTCTTCTGGCCGACAGGACGCAGAGAGTTCAAGACCTTTCCCCAGCCACTCCAGGTCTTCGTGGTCATTCCGACCAAAGGCACACCACCACCGCTGGAGCCAAAGGTCACCAAGCCCATCCGATCGCGCGGACCCAGGTTCTGGACGAGGAATTTCAGCGTGTCACGGAGAAGGGTGATCTTCAAGCCTTGCATGGACGAGGACACGGGAATCACGACGACCAGGTCGAGCGGGACATGGAAGCTGACGGGGGCCGGATCTCTCGCGGAGTTGCTGTAGTCCGTCAAGGCCGTGTTGTTGGACTTGGCAGCGCCATAGGAAGAAGTAGCCGATGACTGCCGCTTGTTGGTCTTCAGAGTGCGGTAGTCATCTTCTTCAGCGCCCGAGTTGTCCACATCATAGTCCGGATTTCGCATGGGAGGATCCGGATTGTGAAGATCCAGGAGAGCTCGTCGCCAGATTTCCAACTGGTTACGGTTTTGGAAGCGGAGGTGGAAGCAAGGCAATTCCGAGACGGAGAGGTTGAGAGTCAGAATGGGTTCATCTATCATAAAGATAGTCAGATAGATCCGGCTTTAACGTCAATTGGACCCGGGTGTTCTTACCTGAGGCAGCCTCGACCTCCCGAAGATGCTTCTTGATGAGGATTGACCCCTTCAACGTGCATCTCGTGTTCTTTCGCCTCTGACGGCCATCCTCAAACTGGATGGGTTCCGCGTTCTTCTTCTCCTTCACACAGATGAGCATTTCACCAAAGAGGTAGCACTCCAATTCCTGCCACGACTCCCGGTCCTTGCCCACCCGCAGGACACCATGGAGACGAAGCTTGCCGAACCTGAAACCCCCCCCCCCCCAGTCAGTACAACAGGTTGATGATGAGACATCCAAAAAAAAAAAGGAAACGCCTACCGTTGGAATTCGAGGCCATGCCAGTTGTCCACGCGACATCGCAATTCCTCGGCGATTTCGTCGAGATTCTCCTGGGGTTCATAAGGGACCGGCCGGGATGCCGACGACGACACGGTCGGCGACCGGACGGGACTGTAGACATCCTCCGAAGGGAGCGGATCGCTGGGCTGCGCGAAACGCAGATCCTCCATGTCTGGACGCCATTGCCCGTCGGGGACCTCCACCGTGACCAGGCACGTCAGGGGTTGCTGCTGACGCGAGCGGTTCAGGGTCGGGAACTCGCTGCGCACGGTCACAATGGGAGCAGGAATGGGATTTTTGATGGCACCGGATCGCGGTACATCGGATTCCATTGCCTGCACGTCGTAGTCATGCTTCCTGCCTGTCCCGGGGTGCTGGCCGTCATTGTAGTCAGGGGACGAGGCGGCACCAGTAGCACTGCTATCATTCCGGATGTGCTGTCGAGACGCCATTGTAAAACGATCGACCCGACTGGCAGTTTCAGCACGGCTGTCACGCCGGTAATCACGGCCAACAGACCGGATACTCTCCTCGTGGCTCATGGGCCGGCCGCGACTGCCGGTCTGATCCCATGGAGTCGGAGTTGTGAGCCCACTCCGCTGCGTCGCGGTGTCGCTCATCGTGGCCGAGCGCACGATATTGCTCAGTTTCTCTGCAAATCAGTTAGCGATGCTCTCTGTTTTGATCCACTGGTCGCTGGGCCAGAGCGGTTTCCTTACCGAGATCCAAAACATTGCCTCCCCTGCTGGTATCCAATCCCAGCGGCGCATTGCATGACGGACAGTATTGGGATTCGAACTCCTTGATGTATTCGTAGAAGCAGGCCTCGTGGGTGACATGGCCGCAGGAGAATTGGAGCACCCTCTCGCCGCGCAGAGTGTGCTCCAAGGGTTCCTCACAGACGGCGCATTCACTGCCCACAAAGGTCCTCTCCCGCCGGGTGCGCGAACGATCGACATCCATCACCCCAGCCATTGTCTGACCTGATCTGGAATTGAACAACGCCTGAGACCGGTTGGAAGGAACAGAGCTCTCCCACCTCGACCCGGACGCGGCCGGGGAATCTCTGTAACTCAGACTCGAGGGAGCGCGGTGGCCGGAGACAAAAGACTGGTGCGAGAGGCTGCTGCCAGGACGAAACTCGGAGGGATTGTGCGAGGGATGACGGAATGATCTCGTGGTCGTGATCGAACCGGTGCGATGCCTTTGGGAGGGAAGATCTATTACCATCAGGATATGGTCCCCGTCAGTGACTTTCGTCCTGGGGAACCACTACACGACAGCGGGCGGAGAAAAAAAAAGAAGGCACCCCAGACGGGAGAGTGAATGGTCAATGGGGAAGAATGGAGGGAGAAAATGAGAGACCAGACAGGAACAGGAATCAGAAGAGCCAGATCGAGGTGAGAGGGAGAGGGATGGTAGAGAGGGTGAGGGAGAGAGAGAGAGATGGACGGGTGTTGCGATGACAGGAAGAACAAAAAACGCATGACACATGTCAGATCCAAGAAGCAGGACGGCGCTACGTACCAAACGGGGACTTGTTCTTGGAGCGCCCAAAGAGAGAAAAGTCAGACAGATGGAGGCCCGATTCGTTTCGAGGCACTTGGTCCGATTTGGGAGAGGACCGATGCTTCCACATGGGCCCTGGGGGAGGCACTCGACGTGCAGAGGCGGGCGCACGATCGAGGGGGAGGAGGGGAAAAGGATGGAGAGGCAGGACACAAGAAGCTCAAAAAAGCGCCCCGGGCCCAAAAAAGGGAATGCAAGATGGAGAACACGACAAAGAAGAAGGCGTGCGAGCAGTGAAGGATGATGGTTAAGCAGCTAGCGGCAAACGCAAAAGGTGGCTATCCAACGGCGCTTCTGGGTTCGCAGACAGCACAGAGAGGGCTGTCTTGGTTAGTCAGGGCGTTAGTTAGCTAGCTCGCCCAGGACAGCCTGGTGAAGGCTGGACCGGGTTGGGGGAGATTTTGCGCTGGAGAGCAGCGCAGCTCAGGGGACAGTCCATGGGAATCGTTGCACCGGCGCCAGTACGGACCGGCGGGCTGGCAAGAGCCGATCCATCGCGCCGAGCGAGGGGGCGGCGGGGAGTGGGCCAGCCTAGGGAACGCAGTACAGTCAGTACAGTCAAGACTCTCCGTGGGCCGCTAAGGGGCTGCCCAGGGGGCCTTGCTCTTAGGGCAGGCTCATTAACGCAGCTCTGGGTCGGAGCTTTTTAGGTTCCAGGCGACTGCAGGCGACGCGCTAGCGAGTTCCAGTAGCCATGAGATCCAGGCGGAGAGCCCCACCCTTGCACAGTGTTATTATAATTTATGGCGCGACTGATCGAATAGTCAAAATAGCACTGCAAAAAAGAAGCCCCAGAATCACTCAGATGGCGCCGTGTCGAGGCCTGTGAGAGCGCAGACATAACCTGCAGCCCAATGCTGCCCATAGACAGGGTGCGGGAGACGCTGTACAGTACTTCCACTGCCATGCCATGCGCCGGGCGTGGCTGCACGGGCGAAGTCGACTAGCGGCCTCGTGCCTGGACTTGGCACCGGCCCCTGGCCAGGCCCGTGCAGCGGAGATGCAACACCGCGTGGTCCAGTGCCCACCCGATCGCAGCGTGAACGGCGTCACCCATTATGATTCAAGCACTCTGCTGGGCCACTGCTTGCGCCATGCATCTGGGTCTGGAAGTATTACTCTGCAGGGGCCTTCATCCTGCACCAACACGTTCGACGAGTTCGACGAGTTCCTGACTAGTACAGCGTCTACTCCATTCTCCTGCCAATTATTATAGCTATAGGTAGAAATTGCGAGATATCGATTAAATCAATTCAACCACTACTCTGTACAGTCTGGCGTAATACAGCTCGCCTCCGCTCGAAGGATTCGATCTAGATATCGAAGGATTACTCCATTGAGACGATTACCTTCCTGAAACGTGTTGGCAGCAGACCACTAGGTATTTCCTGTTGCGGTGTGCGTCTGGCCAGAGCCGACAGGTGATCCTTGCTCCTTACAAGCGATATTATTGCATTGCCTCCATCGCCCACTGCCGTCGGAACGAACATGGACATTGTACTCCGTACGCGACAGAATCAACCTGCAGTCCCACGACGTATACGCCGTATTCAGTACAGATTGCTGCTTATGTCTGACATTGTCTGTACTTCTACTCGTCAAGACTCAAGTCAACCGTCTGTCAATCATGATAGGACCCACAAGAGCTTGATCGCTGCCGGAAGGATGCGCATGCTGGCCCAGAGTATGGTCAGAGTCAATGACGCCAAACGACAGCTGGAATCACCATATCATGCTTGAAGTTTGCGATCAAGGTGATGACTAAGTTATGCTGGTTGTAAGTTGTAACTTGTGACGCATCGCAATGTCGGCCGGACGAGCTCGGTGTTTTGTCTGAGTCGGGGAGTTCGGAAGCCAGGACCGTTGTGTAGCGGCGATACGGAGTACTCTCCCGTTCGCATCGTTTGCATCGTTCGTATTTCGACCAGTAGATCTATAATTGTGAAGTGACTGTCAGCAGGCAATCTTAAAAAAGGATTTGGATGCTTTGAGTTCTTAGCCCGGAGCCAGGCCTTCGGTTACGCTGCCATTCTCCACCAAAAACAAGGCAACGGAAGGATTTCCGTTAGCACTCAGGCCCCGCCTTAATCGTTCTCTTAATCCTGAACTCGTCATACCGCCTGCCTGGTCGGAAGGGTTCCGGAGATTTTTTTTTACGGGTGTGGCAAGCAGATGAAACTGCTGTGGCTTTCTCAGGAACCCGATCTTCAACTAGACCAGGAGGCGACTGGTGCTTCAGGAGTCAAGACTGTCAGGGAGAACCAGACAAATGGCCAATCCCCAAGCGAGTCGCGTTCCAACTTCGCAAGTTCGCAACCCCTGTGGCCCTGCCGGGCTCCGGCAGTTTTGACCTGACTCTTAGCTGAAACATTAAGATTTTTTAACTTTCCCCCGCGACGGGACCGTTGGGCACACCAAAAAAGCAGCCAAGTCGTCGAACAGGAATGAGTCGGGCGATGATCAGCGCAACGGCACCGGTTTGACAGCTCGCTAAAAGGGCGACGACGCGCTGCAGAACATGCTCGCTATGCCGGGAGCGGCAATGACAATCGTCGCCAGCCCCGTGATAGGCTCAGCCGGATGCCCCGCGCGTCTTTGGCAGCCGTTAATTCCCGTGGCGAAGATCATGACCCGCTCGCATTCTTGGCGGTGTGCGCGGCGAATTAAGGAGAACGAAGATGCTGCGGCAGTCGTCAGGGGTCTGACTCTCTTGAAACCTCTCCATCGTAGCCTCGGCTGATGAAACAGCCTGACAGCTCGATCGTCGCCGTTCACGAAATTATAAGTATCCACGACCACGCAATGGGCGTTTGAGCAGGGAGAAATAAGGTTTTCCCGGAGATATCGCGGCAGCAGATCCATCTCTGCTCAATTCCTCGCCTGCTGGATGCGACGAATCAACGGGGTGGTGAATCTGGTGAATGAGTTTTTGTGACCGCTCTCAGGGGAGATTCTGTCGCACGAGTCGTGCTCAGCTGCTGATCTGCGCCAACGTGGCCGGCGGGACTAGGCCCCAGTCATTTTCAATAGTTCCGTGGGAGAATCTCGATTTTGAGCCTCGCGAGTCGAGACTGTCGACTCGACAGTCGACTCGTGTTCGGGATATTTTTCAGGCAGAGAACGGCACTGCTGGTGGCACTGCAAAATGATTCGTCATGCGAACTCCGAGTCGCTGGCTGTCAGCTCTGTCAGCTCTGTCCAACGAGCATCCATCACATAGACACATTTCGAACTTCAATTAGGACCAGTCTCATTCACGATCTGTGATGATAATGCGTATCAATTGCAACGTGGTGATAACGATATGCTGGTCAGCATGCAGCGTGGAGTGATGCGACTCAATAATTCTCGAGTAGTGCGAAGACACACAAACTATCACTGACTAATACCCACGTGCCAGCGGTCCACTGTCCACGAGGTGCTGGGGCATGTCATGCAGTATACTCGTACGCCAAGAAAGCATGGCTACAGAGTACAGATCCAAGTTGGATATATTTACACGCTGGATCCGAGTATGCCATAGTACAGAGTACACTGGAGTACTCCGTACGAGTGGAGTATTGAAGCAGTCCTCTTCCGATCGATCGACGTGAACGCCCTACTCCTTACTCCGTCGTTCTCCTATCTACCATCACTCCCTAACCCTTACCTATCGCAATTCAATTGCTACCCGGTAGTAGGACAATCTTTTCTACGGACTCCGTACGTAGTTTGCTTGCATGCCTGCATACTTTTTCTCCGGATAATTAATTTAATTAATTACTTTGTTGCCTGCACTGTGCTACCCACAGCATCTACATAGAGTGTATGTACAGGCATCTGTCTGTTCGGCGTGAATTCCATCCATCCAGTCCAATCTAATTAATGATTGTCAGTAATAATCCCCTTCCAACCAACAACAAACAACCAAAACCAACACCAACAAAGACATCCTTTTGAATGCATATTGTAGAGAATTTCAAATTCCCCTTAAAAAGGCCCTACACTGTTATTCGCTGTAGTCTGTACCATGACTAAGCTACAGCCTACAGGAGGTGCTAGTTGAAAGAAGCTGTCATGGCGAAGACGAATTTTTGCAATTTCTCCATGTGTATAGTTAATGACTGATGGCATCGCTAGTGAGTTGTTATGCACATACATGTACAGTAATTACCTACCTATTCACAATGGTTCGTAGCTGCCAATCTATCTATCCACCACAGAACCTTACCATGCAATTAATCACACCGTTGATACTGTAGTCAATGATCTACGCCACTTGCAGTGCATATGATGAGCAATGACAATTACAATTACCTGCCTACTCCGTACAGAGGTAGTTACTGTTACGCATTCCAGTGACCATTCCCGTCAGCACTGATCACCCCGTGCACGTGTCCTTCTTTGGCCCCCGGCCCCCACCTGGAGCCATGACGATATCGATCCTCGCTCGCATGATATCTGCATGCAGTCTGCAGATCTAGTACCTAGAGTCGCATTCATTCATTCTTCACACGAATCTTTTTCTTTCTTGTATTCATTCTGTATTCTGCATCTGCAATGCAATGCAATGCAATCCCCATTTTTTTGGGTCAGTTGTTTATTCCCATGGAACGTTCGAACACACACACCAAAATGGAATTGGAATTCAATGGATCGGGACGGATACCCAAACTCAATCCCGGACAGACTCAAGCTCAAGCTCAAACTATGTAGGTATGCTCTGACCCAGCGCGAAGGATTCGGCCCCATGACGGACGGACAGCCACAGAACATGACTGATGGATTGATTGATTGAGTGAGTGAGTGATTGATATGTCTGTCTGTCACTCACAATAGCACTGGCATTATCATAACATGCAGTGTCAGTGCAAGTGTCAGTGCACCTACGTACGGAGTACAGTAGCTAAGTTGACATGATGGATGGATGGATGGGCAGGATTACCCGCAGCAGCTTATCTTGAATTATCAGGTCTCTACCTTATACTCCATACATACATACACTCGTACTGTGTACACTTTACTTGGTCCTTGTCCGGTAAATCCATCTGGAATATTCCATGCATCAGTCTAAATTCTGGTTCAGAATGAAAGGTCACAGACCAGTTGAAGAAGCACTGCAAATGACATACGTATACACCATTCACGATAGAAGTAGAACCGTAGATCCATATCCAACCCTCTCTCCCTTGCGATTACTTACGCCCTTATCCGAAGTTGGAAATGAAATCCACGAGGTCGACCATCCGCCAACAGTATCTACTACTGTACTGCGTAGATCCCCCCCCCAAAAGTCTAGAAAGATCTACAGTACGTAGAGGGACGGCGGACGGGGGCGGCTGCATGTAGTAACCACGGTAAAGATTAATAGTCGATGATGTTATGTTTACAATGATGGTTAGAAATATCCCCCACCCTGCAAGTTACCTACTAGCTATGTACAGTAAGTGCCGACAAGCCCAGTCTATGCAGCGTGTACGGAGTGTAGAAGACTCGTCGGCATGTGACTAGCGCAACTGAAGAAAAGAAGAAAAAAGGATCGCTGTTCTAGTGTGGTGGGATTTGACGTGCATGGTGGAGCGAACGGACAAACTCGACTATTAGTCGACCCGACTCGTCACTCGTCACTCCGCATGATCTACGGCATGAGTGTTGCTCGCTAATAATTTGGGTATATCTCTAGCTACGTGCAAGTACGACGAACAGATAGATTGACAGACTGACTGAAGAATTACAAATCCGCCCCCAACTTGCTTTCCTGGTTCACTATAGACACTGTCCAAGTAAGTACAGTACGGACTACGGACTACGGAGTACTTCAGCAGGACGATCGACAATCGATAGCTATAGTCTTGTCTGTCTAGCCGAGCATCTGTGCACCACACACTATTACTCTGGGCAGCACCACCCGCACAAGTGCCACTGTCTGCCACAAGTTAAATAATTTGAGCACGGAGCGCATGATGCCCTATTTTTACGGAGTATTATCTATTCATAATTTGTCATATGCCGATGGGATTGTCTGGAGGATACTCCGTATATGTATGGGGATGGAATAATAAGATAAATAGGCTATAGCCGATACAATTACTGGGATTTTCCAATTTTTCGTTCTATCCTCGATTTGATAGAGCTTTTAGCTTTTGAAAAGATCACCCCACTCACTGCTGGCTCACGGAATCTGTACGAGTACCTAGATGTACCTAGTACCTACATACCTCCATGAAAGGCCGTAGATTATTATTATTAATTAATTACTCCGTATTAATGATCAGCTAGTTTTCTTCCAGGATCGTTCGACGTCATTAAACTATCTATCTGTACAGTACGGAGTACGGAGTACTCCGGAGTACAAACTCCGTATCTGTAGAGTGGAGACTTGCAGCACTCGTGTCCGTATCCGTGTCTACGCACGAGAACAGGAGAACGTGTATGCATGTCTCTGCATGTGACAAATCATTTGGAATAGTACAGTTCTTACAAATTACAATCCTTGTGGTCGACAACCTACCTACCTAGCCTTGAAAGATACCAGTTAAAAAAAGGGGTGGAAAGAACAGGACAGGTCCTCCGGTGGATGTATTTTATTTTTAGGTGTTGGCCCACCGTCCCAAAAACAAGGAACCATGATTAAGGGATACCCAAGAGCAAAAAAAAAAGCAAAGGCAAGGAAAAAGAAAGGCAAAAAAAAGAAAAGAAAACAAAAAACCGATAGTTCAATCAATTAAGTTAATAATTAACTAATAGATCGATCTACTCCCAACCTTAATTTTGTTAAATGTATGCACCTACCCGTAGGGACGGCGTACAGTACCATTTTCCAGACTCGATTGATCTACGTCTATCGATCTACTAATTGATTAATTATGGAAGTTAAATAAAATAAGATTTAGGTGTTCGGATATGCTATGTCTTTTTTTGGGGGGGGATTAATCGATTAACCACTAACCACTTCTAGATTGAGTCCCGTGTCATTATTTTATTTACGATTATTGATTGAATTTGCTCACGGCACAGAGTGCTACCTATTGTACTGTACCATTGAACAATGATGGCCAATCAATGCTTTATGCGTGCATTGCATGGTAAGGTTGCATGCATACAGTTGGAAGGTTCCAGTAAGGCAGGCCGCAGTACGGAGTAGATTGTGGGTATTCTATTTATTTAGTTAGGCAGTGGAGTAGACGGGATGGATGGATCTATCATCACTGAAGTTTGGAACCCTCTCTATACCTGGTCGGTATATATCTCCCTAGTAGTGCAGCCATGGAATATTCTATTCGTGGCTAGTTAGCTAACTCTGCGAGTCAACTACAGGTAGGATATTCGGAGTATATACTCCATAGAACTGCCACTCAGGGATATAGTTTCATCACTATTGAGAAAAAGACACGTGGAGTTCTAAGCTTTGTTGGGGATCATCCACCGAGCGAGCTATCTACGTATGACTCGCGGCTGATCGTCAACAATGTTATACTGTATGTATGTCATCCATGATCCCCGGATCGACCGAAATTGAGTCTATACAGACACAGACTATTATTTAAATTAATTCCATTTTCTAGAAGAGCCTGCCCGCTCGGTTCACATTAATTAATAGTCCATTTATTATTTACTTCATTATTCGCTCTATATTGATCAACGAATAATGAATACAATACGAATTGTAGAATACTGAGTACTGACTACAACTACTACCTCGCGGAGCAAAATTATCCTCCGACCCGACAGAAAGGGTCCAAAGTCTAATAAATCTAAAATTAAATTAAATAACATCGGCACCGTCCATCCACCATCCATCCATTCATTGTCTAGCACTCCGTATTATTGATCCACAGTTATTATTGTGTCATTATTAGAGTTTCGATAGTTTCCGCGTGAACCAGGGATCCCTAGGCACGCTACACACATACCTACTACCCAACGCGGCAGTAGTCGAGTTTTTGGAATTTTTCTTCCCGTGCGCTGTTACATGTGTGTTGATCTTGAACCATTTCTCTGCAGATAGTCAGAAAGGGAATCTATTAGCTTGCTGATTGGTGGTGTTATTATTTGTCAGTAGAAATTCATTGCTTCATATAGAAACAATAATTATTAGATAGGTATTCCGTATACAACAGACAATAAGTCAGTACGGAGTATACACGACCAAGCAATGATACGACATAACTGAGAATTAGATAAGATGACGAGTTGATATCCATCCATTATCCATTTACCGGGTCGATATCCGATGTCATCCTCATTATCATCTGTATTATGGTTAGGAATAGAATCCTTGTCATCTCTGTCAATTGCAAAGGATAACTTTGGCAAAACAAGACTGGCTCTTGAATGATCACTCTGCCTGCTGCTCTTCTCTGTATTGTATTTCAATTGAGCTTACCTATATGTTCCAAACTCTGTTCCAGTATGATATTCATGGCATTCATTATTGCTGGATTAATCTCCTGGTAGTTAATTAAATTGGACTAATATCCATAGTTACGCTGTCTCTCTTCCTCTTTTAGTTGCAATCCGATATCTAAATTCGTAATATATACATAAAACTGTCCAAGAGGAGAGGAAAGGAGATGACTAACTTTCATTTGCAATTATATTTTTTATTTATTAACTCCCGCAATTGAAACACAATTCAAGCTGAGCAATATATTTCTATTAGTCGTTGAGTAATATCCATAAAGCGTAGCTCCTGGAATCAGGATCGATCGATCTATCGTATCTTCTTATCCGTATGAATTTGCTGCAGCCAGGGGTTGATTTTCCCCCTCTCTATGTCCTTTTTCTTTTTTTTTCTTAAAAAAAAACATCCGTAATTTACTATCTTCAAGAGTGAAAAACGGGGCTATTTAACTCATTTTTTATTGTATTTGATTGGACACTCACTCTATTCGTCACGCCTATATCGTATTTATTATATTTCTATTCATATGAATTTACTGTCCATCTTCCTTCCTCCTCGCAGGAATCATCCTGCATGGGAAGAAAGCGATTCTCTATCTATCCAGATTTTCGACCGCGTTGCTTTCGTTACCTTATTCTACTCTACTCTACTCAGCTTAGCTTTAGGAAGACTTTTTACTTGATGGCATTTTTTCTTTTTGCTTTTAGACCATCTGATATGTTTGCTTCTCGTTTATTTCGGAATTTATATACCATTCATTTGGATGAATGCAGCTAGTTACCAGTTTGCAAGTTGTATGAGAGTTTCATCGCGAAGATTCTTGAACGTCATGCCCATGGATTCAAGACTTCTGAACCTTGTTCTCTCTCTCTCTCTTTTTTTTTTTGATACCTCGTTGTACTATACGCAAACCTGAAATATAAACATGTTGTATCTATCTTATATAGAATCTCTAATAATAAAGTTGCCCATTCTTCTTATCATGTGCTAGACCATGGGGTTAGGATTCAATTACTATCCATGACTTCGTTGCATTATATCTGACAAGCCTGCTGGAATCAAATCCACCACTGGTTCATTACCTACCTGCACTGGATAATGACTGGAATCCTTGAATCCTTTCTAGAGCGACCTGACACGGCTTTAAACCTAGGGCAGTCTCCACTTCTGACAGAATACTCACGGCAAAATGTCTATTCCATCTGGCGTCACCCAGCGCAGCCGGCTATGTGGTCTCATCAGGGGAAGCCTGTTCAAATGTAGGAAAATGGAGAATGCCGGTTTTCACCTGCAGCTACCTTGGGGTCCTTATCAGCGTGGGTTCGGTTCGAGGCTGGAATGTTCCTAGACGTGTCTAAGCCTTTCTACAAAGCGAATGTGATCATTCTCAACGAGATCCTCATCTCGGAAAAGATCACGCCACGGGTCGAGATAAACGTCGCCAGATCTTCGCCGTCCGTGTCACATCCTTGAGAAGTCGAGAAGACAACGGATCTGTCTTTAGACCGGTGACTTGATGGTCTGTGTTCACAAGTTTGCTCCAGGGATTAAGGCAGTTGTTGGTCCGGTATTGGTCTATTAGAAATATCTGGCCGTTTAGACTCTAATGTGTAATGAGATGGCTTTTGAATTGTAGTTGGGCTCATCCTTGCGAGTGTCGTTAGAAAGACTGTCTCTTAGGTGACAGACTTTCTGTTTGTTGTTCGCAGCAGCGAGAATAGTCTGAACCAAGGCACAAGAAGAGCAGTATTTATGTCCTAAGCATTGTCTAGCTGATTATTTGACCCAGGAAAGATATCAGATTTCATGGCCTCAATTCCGGAGACTGCCATACTGAAATTAGTAAATCCAACATCTCATATGAATTCAATCGCATGAGATACCAATTCTGCTAGTTAAACCATACGCATAGGAACAGTAGAGGAGAAACAGCACTGCTATTCTTGGTAAGAGGCATGATGGGGATCCTGAGGCTTGATTGATAGAACTTGATATAGGCCTTGCTCCATTCAGCTATCACGCGGATTTCCAGCTTGACGAGCTGTTGATGTATCTTATCCTCGATCTACGTTTAATATACTTGCTTCTGTTTCTCTGATTCGCTGGATCTCTTAATCTGTTTACGTTAATATTCATTATGTATCAGAGATGGTCATATAGCTAATCTCCTGGTAAGTTAGGAGTAGCAACTACTATACGGACAAGGCGTAGTTACTGCCTCCCTACCTAGATATCACTGTTCCATGCACTTCAGCCTATTCTCTAGCCTCTCTACCTACTATCTACTATTGTAAGCCTCATTAAGAACGGGGCCCCTGGCTAAAGTGTAGTTCGATCTTCTCCCCGCTGGGGTTCCTGTTCGAAACATATGACGGTCGCGTAGTAATTTTTTTGCTGACATTCTCACAAGGTCAGCTTGCCTGTCTTTTAATGTCAATAGAGTGAGAATTAGCGCATAGGTTAGAAATAGTCCTTGTCATTCGGACATTGTTCTATTGAGGTCGAGAGCAGAATATAGATCTTGATGTCATAGAACGAAATTCATGTGACGCCAACACTTTTTCCCTTTGCTCTTTCCATTTATTCTTTTTTGTAGAGGAGCCTGAGCTGATAGTATGCAAATAATAAGAGAAGAAGCAAAATGCCAAGTCATAGAAGCATGAAGGCAGTCGCGTGGAGAAGCCCTAAGCCCCGCCGTGGACGGATGCAAACCAAACAAACAGGCCACCCGTTCTGGGCCGCCAGCTCCATCCAAAAAATCACCGGTTGCCCCCCCGAACGGGTTGGAAGCTGGAGGAAGCTCGCAGACGAGGGCAGCGCACCCTCTTTAATCCGGTTTCTTCTCTCGATCTATTTTGCCCCCTTCATTCAGCGTTCGATCCTTTGCTTCGTCAGCGAGTGAGCGAGTGAGTGCAGTCAACCATGTCGTTGGCGTTACCGGGTCCCTCCCAGGCGGGACTGTTCAAGCCTGGCTATACGAGGTACGTGATTTATTTATTTGAACGAACAGAGGATCGTAGCTCCTGTGCCGCTGGTTATCACCATGATATATCAACCATATTCGTCACGAGGGCCTATATACACATGATCTGTTGATTCGAGTTGACCCCGCTAACACCACTTTGTGCGTGTCTAGCCACGATGCCGAAGATGGCGCCGTCATCCGCAATATTGAGGCCTGCCGGGCCATCTCGCAGACCGTCCAGACCTCCCTGGGCCCCTATGGCCGGAACAAGATCGTGATCAACCACCTGCAGAAGATGATCCTGACCTCTGATGCGGCGACCATCCTGAAGGAACTCGACGTCGTCCACCCGGCGGCCAAGCTGCTCGTCATGGCCAGTCAGCAGCAGGAATCTGAGATGGGTGATGCGACTAACATGGTCATCATCCTGGCTGGCGAGCTGCTCCGGAAGGCGGAGGAGTTGCTGCGGATAGGGCTCAAGACGAGTGATATTGTCCAGGGTTATGAGAAGGCTCAGAATTTTGCGTTGAAGGCTCTAGAAGGTGGGTTCATACGTTTTCCCCTGCTCTTGTGCTACTTTTCTGTCGGAAGTTTATTTAAGATCGTCGATTGTATTCGAGGGTTACTGGCTAACTGGAAAAGACCTTGAGGTCGACCGTTTGAAGGAAATGCGCTCGCAAACTGAGCTTGTCAAGGCTCTCCGCACAGTCGTCGGAAGCAAGCAGTCCGGTTCGGAAGAGATTCTCGCTTCTCTTGTCGCCGAAGCTGTCCTTGCTGTGTTGCCCAAGAATCCTCTCAATTTCAACGTGGATAATGTCCGGGTAGTCAAGATTATGGGTGGTAGTTTGGAGCAGTCGCGGGTCGTGAAGGGTATGGTATTTAATCGGGAGCCCGAGGGCCAGGTTAAAAAGGCACGCAAGGCCAAGGTTGGAGTTTTCAGCTGCCCGATCGACATCTCGCAGACCGAGACGAAGGGAACGGTGCTCCTGCACAACGCGCAGGAGATGCTCAACTTCACTAAGGGTGAGGAGGAGCGCCTGGAGGCGGCAATTAAGGAGTTGTACGATTCTGGTCTTCGCGTCATCGTTGCCGGCTCCACGGTCGGCGAACTGGCTCTGCACTACCTCAACCGGTTCAACATCCTCGTCATCAAGATCCTCTCCAAATTCGAACTGCGTCGACTCTGCCGCGTGGTGGGCGCGACGCCGCTGGCCCGTCTTGGTGCTCCCATGCCGGATGAGATGGGCACCGTGGACGTTGTGGAGACTACGGAAATTGGAGGCGATCGGGTGACAGTGTTCCGCCAGGAGGATTCCAATGCGGTGACTCGGACAGCCACTATTGTCCTGCGAGGAGCGACGCAAAACCACCTCGATGACGTTGAGCGTGCGATTGACGACGGAGTCAACGTCGTTAAGGCTATTACCAAGGACCCCCGCCTTGTTCCAGGGGCCGGTGCAACGGAAGTTCAGCTGGCTGAGCGCATCTCTGCCTTTGCGGATAAGACGCCAGGACTCCCGCAGCATGCGATCCGGAAGTATGGTGAGGCGTTCGAGGTGATTCCGCGCACGCTGGCCGAATCCGCCGGTCTGGACGCCACGGAGGTGCTATCGCGATTGTACACGACACACCAACGCACGAACAAGGATTCCGAATCGGAGGATGACTCGGAGGATGAGGAGGAAGAAGAAGAAAGCGAATCGTCCGAGGAGGAGGAGGAGCCGTACTGGACGACAGGCGTGGACCTCTTCTCGAACTCGTCTTCGGGCACGATCGACGCTCTGGAGGAGGGTATCCTGGACCTGATGGCTTCGAAGAGCTGGGCAATCCGACTCGCGACCGAGGCAGCCCGGACGGTGCTGAGCGTCGACCAGATCATCGTCGCTCGCCAGGCGGGCGGGCCGAAGCCACCGGGCCAGAACCCGAACTGGGATGAGGATTAAAGAAGCGACGTGCAAAATATAAAGAATAGAAAAAAGGCAAATCAGATTTAGTCTCTACTTAGGTGGAGAAAGAGCGAGAGGGGGGTGTGTCTGAGTGGGGATTGGAGATTCTTAAAAAAGATGTGAATAGATAATAATTGCAGATGAGAGTCATGAAGCATGCATTCATTCATTCATTCATTTAAATAGCATTCAATTGATACAAACACTCAAAAAAGCACAGTAAACTATGCAATGCACCTACCTATGTCATCATATGGCAGTACGTATCTGGAACAAGAGGGAAACTGAGTTAATTACGTAGGGCCTCAAGGAAGACTTATTTATTATCTTGGCCGGTAATTGTCATTGCAAGGTACGTCTGTCCAGGTATATACGTATGTATATAGACAATAGAATTGAGGCGATATCGTTCAATAGTTAGTAACTTGTTATTGGTACACTGGTATACTGGTGACAGGCAGGTAGGTATTGCATATGTATGTTCTTGGTGTTGCTCCTATATTATTTTCTCTGGCCAAGTATACCTAAGCTAAGGTAGGTGTATGCACCAACGAAAGTCCCTGCCAAAACAGTCGGTTGCTCCCATGTCATACTTCATAGTTCGAAACAGGCTGGCAGAAGATGGGGGGGAGGGGAGGGGGGGAAGTCTTCTTTCCGAGCGCCATGGCAATCAATTCGATTCATGTTGAACTGCCGTGGTGAAGCGGGTATTTCTGCGATGTAGCTAGCTAGCTGGTTTCCAGTGCTTTTTTCCCGTCACGCAATTGCTTTTGGCATCATAGCCTCGTCTATAAAAAACACGAAATCCCGAATGAATTGTAGATGTGGAGGTAGGCCGCATACGAGTTTGGTCTGGTCTGATGTCGACTCGCAGTATGCCCTCATCTCATTTGTGTTCACTATTCCCACGTTCTTCCATCGCAAGGTGCATATTTCCCAAAGACCATAAATGTAGAGATATCCATCCAAATTTCAGGCACCAATGGAGAAACCTCCATTGCAAGTAAAACGTCCGTCCGAGTGAAAACACCGCATATAGCTCGCAATTGCCAATTATCGCCCAACCAAAGCGCCGTCAATTGAATGCTTGAAACGAGAACAGTAACAGAGTCCGGGTATCGAAAACGTAGATTCAATCCAAATTCCATGCAATGATCGAAGAAGAAGAAATATTGCGTGCGACTAGTTCGACAGCGTCGGCGCCATGCTCCAATTCTCCGGAGGCACCGCCCGCAGGCTCCTCCGTCGTCGATGGCGGCGGGCTTCCACCTTGCGAATGCTCATCCGGATGTATTCCGCAAACAGGGTGCTTGACCGGATCGAGATCCAGACGATCATCAAGCAGCTAGCCAGCCATTTCTCGCGCGGGGAGAAGTAGAGGTCTATCATCGTGGACTACCGGTGTGCGGATGGCGGAGAAAGTCGTTTCAAGGAGAGGGGGAGTGGTGGAAAAAAGGAATGGTGGAGTGAGTGTTTGTTTATTTGTTTATTCCATATGTGGAAAATGAGCAAAGAATGTAAAGAAGACGAAATGGAGAAGGACGCCGTACGAGGCTGTCGCTGACAGCATCGGCGGACTCGATCGCGTGCTCGACCGCCATTCGTAATATCGGCAATCTTATCGGGTTGCTGTCATATCACGTGACTTACATCACGTGGATCGATCCTCCGTCCCCGGGCCCGAGAAAAATAGTTTCTCAGCGGAAGTCCGAGCTGGACAAATCCAGATACAGCGAGGACGAATTGTATCTCGTTCAACTGTTTGTTGCTCCGTCTGCTTTGTCTGTTTGTTTCTCTTTCTGCACAACCTCCGTCACAATGGCAATTCCCTCGCAGGCTGCAGCTCGATGCTGCAGATACGTCGTCCGTCCTTCCACTTCCTCCCTGCGCATCTCGTCTTCGTCCTCCACATACCTGTCCCAGCGCCGGACGACGCCCGCACGACGATGGCAGTCCACAGAGGCTGCTGCTGGTGCACAGGCCTCGACAAACCCCAAAATCACGCAGATTGTGGATCAGATCAGTCAATTGACGCTTTTGGAGACTGCAGATCTGGTTGCCAGCTTGAAGGTGAGAAACAGCTTCAAGATCGCGGTGGAGGTGGAAATTTTGCGGAGAAACGGAGGAATCCAAGCAATGCAGTTACTGACATTTTATGTTTTCGATTGCAGTCCCGCTTGAATATCCCTGACCTTCCCGTTGGTGGCTTCGCTGTCGCTCCCGGTGCTGCTCCCGGCGGCGCTGCTGCTGGCGGCGCACAGGCAGCTGCTGCGGAGGAGGAAGAGGCTGCCCCAGCTGCTCAGGAGAAGACGCTCTTTGCCGTGAAGCTCGAGGCGGTGGATGCGGCCGCCAAGCCTAAGATTATCAAGGAGGTCAAGTCCATGCTTGGCCTGTCTCTGGTCGACAGCAAGAAGTTCGTCGAGAGCGTGCCCAAGGTGATGAAAGAGAACGTGCCGAAGGAGGAGGCGGAGAAGATCGTCGAGACGCTCAAGGGGCTGGGTGCGAAGGCCTCCATGGAGTAAATTTCCGGCGGACCGTCTCTTCTTTCCTCTTTCTCCTCTTGATGTTCTCGATGAGTGAGATACTCTAATGCACTTCCACGACCAAGGCGCGGAGGAGGACGGAGAAGGAACGACAAATCTAAAGGCTGGAAGAAAGATGATGGAAAGTTGATATATACTGTACATTATTATTAAACGGAGCAACAGGAAAAAAAAATTATCTGTTTAGGACTTGTCCTCGACCCATGACTACCCGGTGAGAGAGCCTTTTTCGAACGGATGGACAAACGGACGAACGGACGGATGAATGGCAAGATAGAATCCTTTTTTGAGATAACCGTGTCTTACTATCTCAATATTATTATTATACTATTGTTGTTATTGTTGTTACATCATTATATCGTTGTCCTTCTATGTATGGTGTGATTGCTTGCTTGCTTTTTATCGACTCTCTCACCTCTCACACACTCTCCACCGGGGAACAGGACGAACAGGACAGATGGCGGTAGCAAAATCAACTACAATCCAATCAATCAATCAATCAATCAATCACAAATTCAAATCTCTTGTCGAAGAAATCTCCCATTAAAACCAAAGAAGTCAAGTGAAATCAAATCAAATCAAGACTGGCATGACTTGGAGTGAGCGAATGAGTAGCAAAGACTACCAATCTGATCTGGCTTCTTTCAAGTTATCTGTGCCTGTGATAGTGGTAGACAATGCCAATATCAATGCCAATGGTTCGTCACGCTCATCTATTCACTGTATTATTATCATGGATCTCTGATTTTCCAGTCCCTTTCTCTCCTTTGAAGAATCACGCAGTCGTGGGATTGGAGATCCTTTTGTTGCAGCAGAAGTAATGAGTAGCTTGTCAGCAGCGATGACAAGGTAAGGAGAAAGAAAAACAGATAAAAAAAAAAGAAGCAAAGCAACCCTCTAGCTCTCGACTCTTCTTACAAGGAACAGGATATATATAATAGAGGAAAGATAGGACCGGCCTACTCGATCAAATTCCCATCTGGATCCCGCACATAGACGCTCTTCAAGGTACTCCTTGCTCCAGTCCGACGCAGCACCACCTCGCCGCCGCTCTCGAGGACCTCGACGCCTCTCGCCCGGAGCTTGTCCACAAGGCCCGCGCCAACATCCTGGTCCGTCAGGAAGCACAGGTCTGCTGTGCCAGGCAGCGCCGTGCGGGCCTTGGGTTCAAACGCGCTGCTGCTCCCTGCCTCGTGGAGGTTGATCTTCGAGGCGCCGAAGAGCAGGGCGTGCCGGGTTGTGTTCGGGTCAGTCGGGTCGGTGAAGGACTGGTGCGCCATGCCGAGGATTTCGGTGTAGAACTTGATCGTTTCTGGCAAGGAGCGCACTGTCAGGACGAGGTGGTCGAAGGAGGTGAGGGTGCAGACGGGAGGTTTCGACGAGACTTCTGATGGCGATGTAGATGACGTGGAAAGATGGGCATGGGAAAGATGACTGTTCCTGTGAGCAGTGAGACGATATAGAGTGGTTATTGTTGTTGGTCTTCCAATTGAGGCAATATATCCATGTTGATGATGTCTTGCAGCTTTCAGGATAGAATAGTTCATGATGAATCAGATTGTTACACGGACACTTCTCTCAAGGATTCTAGCATAAAAGGACTTCCTGGCGTTAGTCTTGTCGAGACTAGGTTATTGGCGATGTCATGGGGTAGCTTGAGTATCATGGTATATTTTGATATTTGATTGCGATGCGTATGGCGACGTAATTCGTAGTTAATCCAATCGGCGATCCTCCGCAGTCGGCACTAGAGTCGGCTCAGATGGAGATCTCCGCTCTCTTTTCCCGCTAAATAGTTCATACCGACCAACTACTATCGAACCAACCCTCTCACGGGTCTTTTATCTGATGTCTTTACGTCGCACTGCCGGGGCCCTCAAATGGCCTGTCCTGCCTTATGTTCGCGTATTTGCACCTCACGCAGAGTCGACAGCCATCCTCAATGCCAGATCCTACCGACCCAGACCGGCCCGTTCACCAGCAGCCGGTAACAGGATCGTGACCCCAACGACATCTCAAAACCTACCACCGGAGGTTGTACGTGCCCTGGGGAATACAATGAAGGATGCGAAACGGTCGTTCGATCGCCATGGAAGGATGTTGTATAGATCAGCAAAGTCCAGCGGTCTCCTCCCCCCCATGAGCTTCGATACCTTTCGTTACATTGGCAACGGACTCATACAAGCTGCATACAACACACGTTCAACCGCGCGGGCCGTGAGGATGATATCGAAAGGTGTGGAGCTATGTACAATACCTAAGAGATCCTTCTGACTAGCGCTGATCGGTTATTTTCTTCTGCAGACGTTAATGCTGTCTACGATGTAGCGTATGTCATGGGCGTAATTGATGTCAAGATGGCAAGCTGGGCCTTAGAAGCAACCCGAGAAGCTGGCGCAGTCCGCCCGACCTTGGTAGAGGCGCTTCGACACCTCAACGCTGTCGCATATCCTATGAGAACCCCAGTGTTGGACCGGGTGGAAGAGTGGGCGACTAAGGACGAAGATCCGCGGGCCATTGTCGTGCACGCCAAGGTCCTCGGAAGGAGAGAGCAATATCGGGAGGCCCTAGCCCTTTTGGAGAAGCTCGTGGATAAGACGTACCCGACGAGAGTGAAGCCGAATGTTCGCGAGGATGTCACGATGTTAGGGCGTCTAGAAGCGCCATGGGAGTTGTATGCGTGGCTAAAGGAGAGAATGGGCGATCAGGAGGCCACGGACAGAGTGCTGAAGATGGCAGCCCTGGAATATCAAGACCCCCGAGCGCTGGTGGAATACGCCCATCTCATGCAGACCCAGGGCGACCTGGAGGCGTACGAGGAATACATGAACAAGGCGGCTACCGCAGGCCACGCCGAGGCCTGTCGCAAGCTGGCCAATTTCTACTATCTCACCTCCCTTGGCCGGTTCACAACGCGCGAGGAGAGGAGCGAGGCCCGCAACGCCTTCACTGCCTTCTTTTCCCGCTTATTCCGCCAGTCCCGCACCAAGGACGACTTCCGCGAACTCGCTATAGAGTGGTACGAGCTCGCCATTGTACACGGCAGCGACAAGGCCGCTCTTGTTCTGGCTATTCTTATGCGGGAAAATGGCGAATCCGAGTCGGGGCTGGAAGCCCTCGAGGTTGCTGAGAAGAGCAAAAAGTTCCCCAAAGCAGTGAAACGACTACGGGACAATTGGGAGAATCCGGACTTCCGATTCCCAATTCCCGAGCAGTTGCTGGATCTTTGAGCTGTTGCCCCAGACCTTGACAGATCAGCTGATGCAGCAACTACGTACAGTCCAAGACGCTGTCTGGACGCTCGACTATCTCTGCCGCAAATGTTGGCATATTATTGCACTAGGGAAGTCATCCTGTGGCACCACGTCAGTTGCGAGTGCCATTGCATGCAGCATTGCATGCTGCGACTAAACCACTCAGTCACTCTGTTAGCTGATTAATGACAGCATGATTATACCTCTATCATGCAATTGGAGGAATACTGCAAGGACTTGTACCGTCTATGCTTTCGAGGGGGTGACCATACCTTTTCTTTTCCCCCTTGTGTATGTGGACCGGATTTTTGTCTATATTCGGTCACAAAATTTCACTCTAGATACCCTGTACTTTTAAAATGTGAGAACGAAATAGTTCAAATATCCAAAATTGTTAAAAAAGAAAAACACCGCAAATAATAGAGATATCTAGAGAAGAGGAAGAGAAGAAGAGAGCGCAGAGCATTGCTGGTCGAAAATGTCCAGTAATGTCTCTCTCTCTTTCTTTTCTTTTCTTTTCTTTTCTTTTCTTTTCTTTTCTTTTTTTTTTCAAGTTCAATCTTTCAAGTTGAGTGACCCTCTGCGTTCTCGTCCTGTGTATCAGGTTGGAATCAATAATACATAGTAGGGACGACTCAATGATGACTTGAGTTGCAATGAAGGGCTTCTTGGGAGAAACTATCCTTTCCAAATCCCCGTAATCAAGAGGAAAAAAAATTATTTCTCCCATAATTTCTACAATAGCCTAAGAGAAATAAATATAGATGAAGATAGACAGAGGTTTAAAAAAAAAGAATAAACAATGAAAATCGTGACCAAAATTTAGAGAGAAAAAAAAGGACGTTAGACCAAAAGAAAAGGCCAATGAATGTCCTTTTTTTTTGTGACTCCGTCATTCACTATCACTTTCGTCCTTTGCTTTGCCTCTCCTCTCCCCTTTCCTTTTCTCGCCTTTAGATCCTTGACACCCAGCTCTCGAAGCCTTTCCGCCAGATGCGACGATCTTCGCATCCCCGGAAAGTCCTTCGACGAGCACACGCGGAACGGATCCGACCAGACCTCGGCCAGGACGGGCTGAGACGTGCCCGTGTCCATGACACTGCCCCAGTCCATCAGTCGGAATTTTAGCCGGTACACGCCTGCTGTGCGGACAGAGAGGTCTGCAAAGACAAAGAACGTGGCAGGCATTGTGGAAGCAGCTGGCCGTACTGCGTCCCCCGCTCTGCCGGTGCTGGATGGATGCGCTGGAGCGGTGGCTGGATCGGGTTCCTTGTCAACGTAGAACGGGGACACGTACGACCTTCCAGAGAGCATCTGAACCGATCTCCATTGCTGCTGCCCTCGAGCGCTCGCATCGCTGTCCCTTGAGGCACGGGTCGACGGTGCTTTCGCAGAGGGCTCGACAACATGCGTGCAATGAACCAGCTGCCCCTGTGAATCTTTATCAGTGTCCCGAGAAACAGACGTCGTCATTAAGAGGAAGAAGTTACATGCGTCACAGAATATAACAGGCAGCCCACAGCAAATCTTGGGTCTTGAAGCAAGAGCCGGTCGTTTTCAGAATCCGGGTCGAAATCGACGATGAGCAGTTGTAAGATCGGAGGAGGATCGATTGGACGGCGATCCTTTTCGCCCGCAGCGCAAGCACGTCCTGCTACAGGCTGTTGCCGGATGTGCAGGCGAAATCTTGACGCAGTAACGGGGGGAGACGGCTGGGGCGAGAGAGGAAACGACTGTGGCGGTGGACTTTGTGGATGCAGCAGCCGCTCAAACCCCAGAGGAATGCCAGAACTGGAGGTACGGTGCTTTTGGTTCGATATCTCATTCGACGTAACATGGTACGACGTCGCATTCATCTCAGGGGAGCTATAGACAACCATTCTTAGGAATCAGACTTTCAAAAAGCCTCAGATTGAGTGACACGAGAATCGATGGAAATGGGCAGTTACTGGGAAATCTCCACGCACTCTTGATTTCCTGAAGCAAACAGTTTTCCTCCAGCTCCAGGTCTCTGTGGGGAGATTTCCCGATCAGAGTGTTGAACTGACATGGCTTTATGATCCACTTGCATGGAGCTATAAGGCGATCCAACCGAGTGTTGGCGCCATGTGCCATGGTCTGGTTGGTATGCACTGGTAGAAGAGTTAGCAACATGGTAGCCTCCGTTGAAGCAGGTACGTTGCTCTGGTCACACCTGTACGTGGACGAACTGGAGATGCTGTGCCTTGAAGAGGTGGCAGGAGAAGGCAGTTGATAATCAGACAGAGATGGCCTGGACGGTATGCGATATTCTAGCGGAGCCTGGCTTCGTGGACTGTACGGTTCTTCGTATCTAGACTGTTGACTCTGCCATGACTGTAGTGGCAGACCGGATCCTTGTGGAAAAAGATAGGATGCAGTAGACGCTGGTGAAGGAAGGGGATGTATACTTCCAGAAGTGGAAGGTCCACGGTTGACATCTGGTCTGTTATATGACATTCACACGGTCCTTTCAATTCGTATCCCTAGCCCTGCTAGTTGTTCGAATATTCTTTCACACGCAAGGCATCAACAAGTCTCACGCAATGTCCCAGCTTTATAGGCAGACTTGAACCTGGGGGATTTGTCATTTGAAACAAGCGAACACGTCCAGAAAGATTGTAGAAGGAGCACCCTGGAAACAGTTCTCCGAAATTTCACAAAGAGGGTACCCCCATTCTGGACAGGGATTATAAATTCGATGTGATGTTCCTCTTGGCGAAGTAAATGAAACCAGCGCAGTGGCAATATCACGTACGGAAATAATGCGGCTAAAAGGAAGTACCCATAAAGTTTTTCTTCCCCTCTTTCCTTTTTTCGAGGATGCCCATCAGAAGGAGAACAGGGGCAGCGGTTCAAGGATGATGACGGCTTGTGTGAGATTGAAGTCGAGGTGCAGCATCAACACTCGATGCGCGCAAGGCAGATGATCCTGTCCTTCGATGCCCTAGACATCCAATAGGGTGCTGCACCATTCAAATGGTATTATCGTCGCCGACTTCGCAGATCTGGGGTACGACCGGGGATCTTCGGTATCGGAACCAATTCAGTCACCCACTCTAGTAAGGCAGAACGTTGCGTCCCTGACAAGCTCTTCTTGGTGAGTATCAGGGACACTTGGCTCGTCAAGACTGGCTACCGACCAGATGGGACTGGACGAAAAAGAAACGTGCAGCCGCTAAGATTCAGCTACGCGAAGATCTGGCAGCGCAGGATCAGTCAATACTATGCCATCGAGAGAGAGAGGATAGAGGGGGAAGATAGTGATGACGAGGGACCATGCATCCCGGTAATTAATATCATGAAGAGCACGCTTTGATCCCGGTAGATGGGTGTAGAGACCGCATGCAGCTACGTACGGCGAAAAATTTGAGGAGATTAAGCTGAACTGACCGAGCAGCTCCTCATCCATGGACGTGGAAGCCCAAACATCGCTAGGCACATGGGTACATACCTTAGTGGGGATCTTCCAGTTCACAGGTGGTCTCATTCTTGCTTATGGGGCATCGAAGAGAATCCTAGAAAACAAAATCTGAGGATTGTAAAAGTGCCATCCAGACGGCTTTCGGCTTGTTCGCCGATGGCCTGCAATACTGGAATGACCATCCACACTGTCTACCTGGCTGCCTGCGACTGGAAGGAGCGAGCAAGAGGAACGAGGCGGTGACAGTTTTACTAATTAATTGCATGCGTCTGTGCATCAATGCTCCAGCCTCCAGGATGATCGGCTGCCGCCTGCGGGCCGCACGTCACAACTTGGCCTCAAGATGGCCGTGGAGAGGAAGTTAAAAAGTTGGCGGTCAATTAGTAATAACAATAATATCAGAGAATGTGGGGGCTTGTTTCTCCCCACCGATAACACGAACTGCAAGGCTGCGTCGTGTTACCGCCGTGTGCAAAGTATGAATATACCACGGCCAGAATCCCGAGGATCGCTGACATCCATGTCGGGCCGCGTAGATCACACTGGGAGCTTTTGTCCAGCTGAGTGACCTAAGAGGCATGTAGTATCATGTTGATCTTATTAGTGTCCATAATTGACAGAGTGACATCTCTGGTAGCCTGGGTGTTTATCCGAGTCGTAGATGGGGACGCATTGAATTCCAATTCGTCCACAAGCAGTGGACAGGATCCATTGATCCTTCGAGCGTAGCATGATTAAAAAAAAGAAAAACGGGGAATGAAGCGAACGATAGGCCTGTGTGTGGGAAAGCAATCTGACAGAGCACCGCATTAATTTGCGGAGCCGGTGGCGTTGTTGAGTCCAGGCGTGCGGATGCGAATGCCAACGCACAATGCAGCTAGTGGTTGTGTCCTTTTGGCAAAAGTAACTTGCTACCTGTGTCCTGTCATGCATGATCTGATGGAGACCGTCTGATGGCCAAGCTGGGCACGGGCCTTGCCGCTCGTGCTGGTGGCAGGCGGCATGAGATCTGACATAAAGCTGCAGCGGGAACACCCGCCCTAGTCGCTGGTTTATCGCCTGATCCCTGGAGGGTGGAGACGAGCAACCGTAGAGGGAATCAAGCTGCACGAGCGGCTAGGGAATAATGGAAGTGATTGCCGGCGTATAGCAATGAAGCACGCCTGATGGAACTGCTCTGAACTCAGCATTCAACCTGAGGCTGACGAGGTATGAGCGCGTCTCTAGAGTACGCTGGTGGGATCATTCCAATTCCAGTATGCACCTTGTCCAGCTTACCGCGGACACATGCTGTCTCCATTGTAGATCCTGAAGAGCCTCCGCAGCCAGGATGGTCGACAACAAGGCTATTGAGGATGCAGGCCTATTCTCGGCTGTTTCCTTACTTTCACTAGTCAAGTTCCTTATTCAGCGGTGAAAAATGACCGGAGGCAAGTGTCCATCTCATGAGCACAAGACACCAAGTTGCCATTTCCATGCTGTTGTCTTACCATTTCCATCATAATCTCCGGCCTGTATAGACTTCCTTGGACGACCCCTCTGCTCATTGATAAGACGAGGTGGGAGTATCTGACGTTCAAAGATTTGAAGGGCGTGTCTCGATGCCCAGATGAAGAGGCCTTCCTGTACACAATCATATGGACCACCACCACGACGTCCTGCTGGTAACACCCGATTTCAAATATATGCATGCGGCATGACCCAGTAACTAGTCGCTGTGCCGCTCTGGCTCAGCAGTCAGAGCTCAGGATACGTCGTCGTTCTTGGCCTTGGACCTGCAAGGCAACGGGGCTTGATGTGTCACATTTGGCACGTTAGAATCGGCGAATGGCTTCCGACGCGGGTCCTTTTTACACGACTCTCCGTGCTCGTCTTGTAATTAACCTGGTTCTGGCCTGCTGTTTTCAGAGAGCTCAATATATCTTGCACAACAGAATTCTTGATTGTGATTGGTTGCTGGGCCGATGTATATGGGAACGTCTGCGCTTCTGATGATGCCGCACCTCTGGTGGTCTGTCTCCGTCTGCAGATAGAAAAAGGCGGTCGATGGAGGATGCGACTTCGGCTCAGTCAACCAATTATCCATCTAGGCTGATAGAAAAATAGATTGACGAATGTCTCTATACCTTTCGTGGGAACCCTGCAACTCCATGACTCGTATGTCTTGACATTTTCCGTATGTCTGAGATATCCTAGTAAGACAGGGGCGAGTCCATGCCAGAAACGAGTTGGCTGCAAAACCGCAATCCTAGAGACTTTTTCTTGTAGTTTCTGCTCGCTGTTGGAATGCTCGTCAATGTCAGCCGGGAAGGACATGGGAATACCACGGGCAAATTTTGATTTGCTCAACTTCTGGCAGCCTGAGATGAGACGAAAAGACCAATTGCTACTGGCTAGGTCGTCGTAGGGCTTGAAACAGCGTTTGAGAACCACAATTATGAGATATCATCATGCAGACACCAGCAACCGGGTAATTGTGACAGGCTGGCCTTGCAGTTGCAGAAATATGTAACTACCCCTCAATGGGAAACCCCTTCCGGAATCTTAATTGCGCTGCAGTAGCTGTCCTACGTCATATATGTAGGCAGCCATAAGTGTGATGATCCCATTAACCGAGTCTTGAAATTGATTAGACCCAAAAATGAAAACCATGAACTCTGTCTACGAGGCTACGCGGATCATCTCTTCAAAAATAGGAATCTTCCTTGCATGACTTGTGGAGGGGTATGTCACGTGGGGTATCCAGGGCAGGAAAGTCAGATGACTGCCGTCAAGTTAGATGGGAAGGTGGCCTTGGACGTACTTGCCTGAAGTAGATCGTGTTGTTGTATTATTAGTCCACTGTCTTACAGCTTGGTCTACAGAGGTACATCGGATTTGACCCATGAAGTGCGAAGAAGAGATGTGTCTTCGGAGGTTGGACACTATTCTATTCGTACACAGCTGCAGGACGACACAAATTTCAAGGTATTAGGTCCATACCGGGGTCGAGGTCGAAATGATACCGGGCACCAGCTTCCTTGGGCAGAGAAACAATTTCCTCCAATCTTGGCTTGAAATCCTTTGGATTGGCTGGCATTGCAAGTGTTGAAATAGAACCAAGCTGTGGACATGGCTCCAAAGAGGAAGACTGCAAACCTGGACTGATAACTCCAGAGCTTTTCCCAAGAAAAACGAGGACAAATACAGACCTTATGCGATCAAAAGCGACAAGATATCCTGTATCTGTCCAATCCTCTGCGTGCTCCTGCCGAAGGGGGCCCGAGTGTTCTGCAGCGTTTGCTGGTCGCTTAGCGAGATACCCAAGTTGCATGAGGTGGCGAGAGCGCTCCAGACTAAGAGGAAGCCCGTGATTGTCGAGACGGGCGCGGAGCAATCCCAGAGCGGCAGAAGACCAAGGTACTGACGTATCGGTCCTAGGAGGAATTAGACTATTGGTGAATTCTATAGGTGAGCATTGCGGAATCCAAGCAAACTCCCAGGACTTAGTTTGAAGATCCTGAGTGAAGAGTGGGATTTCGGAACCGTCATGCTCGTTTAACAAGTCCGCAATGATGCCAAGGTCGGATCTGGAATGAGAGCCTCCCAAGGCGTTAATTTCTGCCACCAGGCGTTGGACGCTCTCAAAACCGACAGCCTCACCATCTATCGACAAGAGAGAGCGATCCGTCGCCGGGAGAAGAGGGCTGTCGATACTGGAGTGGTGTGACGACGTTTCCTGCCATTCTAACCCAAGTCTTCTTTCCACATGTTTTAACTGATCGTCAAGCACTGCGACGACTTCTTGCTGTCGAGCAAATACTGTAGCTGGTACTTGTAGCTCGTTTTCGGCCAGTGCTGAAGCTAGGCGCGACAAAATCGGTATCGAGGGCGGAGAATCCCCGACCTTTGAAGACAAGTCCTTCAGACAGTCCATGGCAAACTCCACCATTCCGGCATCAATGAAAGTCAGCACACAATCATACGCATCGTCTAGCATTTCGCCGCGGCAGTCGGGAGTTAATTGCTGTGATAATGACTTCCATGCTGCTTTCAACGAGCCCGTAGCTCGCATCTCTCTAAGAAGTTTGACATAGGTAGCATATGCTCCTGGTTCGAATCGTAAGACGTCACTCAGTTTGTGAGAAAAGACCCCTGCATGCGGCCCCTCGCCTGTGACCAGGCCGAGAATGGGACTTAGGTCATAGTTTGGGTCCGTGAAGAAGACTGTTCGTAAAGAAAAGAGAAGCGCTCTGGCTATGTCGACTCCATCCTCTACTTTCAGTAGACTAGAAGTCACGCGTCGGAAGCCATTGAGATGATGCTCCAAAGCCGGAGTCGAAAAACACTGAGCAGCATAGTACATCCCCTCAGCATAAAAATATGGCGGCACTTTGATCTGGAGCTTTTCGAGCCTCGAGATCAAGGCGTTTAATGCCGAGAGAATCTCGCGGGATGAATGATATCGTTGGCAATTCGCAAGCGCCTGTTTGAGCGCTAATCGTGAGAATGGACTCGGATCATTGCTATAAATTACTTCCCGCTCAATAAATAGCCGGAATTCTTGCAGATTTGAGACATGCTCAAGTTCTGCGTAAGTCGCTTCTTCACCTTGACGCCTGTGAGATCCCAGACGCGGAGGATGAAGACCATCGAGCGGCCGTAATGCTAAGTAAGCCTCCAGACGTTTATCAAAATCCGACTGAGACGCATTTTGTACATGCTGCGTATGGCCAGTCAACGAGAAACGCAACAATTGAGATGGTGTTGGGTCAGGACTGGAGTCGCTAAAATTATTGGCGACATTGACGGGTGGAGTCCGTGAAAGGAAGCGTCGAGCGCCGAGCTGTCGATTCTGTGGCAGCCGTAGAGTGGGAAGCTGGCATCTAGGCATTAGTTTCTGAGGATGCCAGAAATAAAATGCGAATTTTAGAGAACTAGAAAAGGCGACAGGATACCGCGGTATGGAACTGGAGGTTTGATGAAAGTCTCCCTGAACAAGCTGTCTGGTACGGTACGGTATTATTGTCAGCCGAGATACCTCCTCCGCCTCCAACCCGCTTCATGCTCGATCCGTCGATCATCCACTCGTCACTTGCCATCCACACCATCCATTTTCAACCCAATACCGCTGTTCGTCCAGTCTTCTGCGGCGACTCTTTTCAGACAACTTGAGTAATTCGATTTTGGCCGAACAGCATGCCTTCGCCAGAAAGGGAGGAAATCTCTGCGATCAGCCAGGGTGACACGACTGACCAGCCTAACATGGACGTCGCGGAGAAAAAACAGACACAGGAGAGTGATGAGACACAAGAAAGCGTACAGAAGGTGTCAGATGAGAACTCAGATGAGAAAGGCGATGAGGCTGCGACCAAGGAGGACGACGCTGCAGCCAAGGCCCGTGAACGACTAGAAAGATTCAAAGCATTGAAAGCCCGCGCAGTAAGTATTTACTATCTTGCTAATCAGGATATCTTCTCGAAGCGACTAACGTGAATGCAGAAAAGTGCGACAGATAGCAACTTGAAGGAGACTGCGGCCGAATCCCAACGCCTTGCCACCGACCCTGCCATGCTTTCGTCGCTGTCGCGCAAACACGCATTTGCATCACACAACCTTCTGAAAGCTGATACAGAAGCCGCTGGTGAAGATTTTGAGCGTAAACGTGCCTGGGACTGGACTATTGAAGAGTCCGAAAAATGGGACAGACGCATGGAAAAGAAACAGCGCCACCGTGACGACGTACTGTTTCAAGACTATCGCCAGGATGCGCGCAAAGTTTACAAGCGGCAAATGAAGCAGCTGCAACCGGATCTGGAAGCATATGAGCGGGAGAAGATGGCAGCTATGGAGAGAGCTGCAGCCAGCGGAGGTCTCGAAATTGTCGAAACCAACGATGGCGAGTTGGTCGCTGTTGACAAGAACGGAACCTTCTACTCAACCGCCGATTCCACGGATTTTGTCGAGAACAAACCCGACCGGGCGGCCGTGGACAAGCTGGTAGCAGACCTCCGGAAAGCAGAAGAGGTTCGCCTCAAGAAGCGCCGTGAACGTCGCGGTGAGGAAGAACCGGATGTCACCTACATCAACGAGAAGAACAAGCAGTTCAACCAGAAACTTGCCAGGTTTTACAACAAGGTAAGCGGCAGTCCTACTTGGTCCCTTTTCATCTCGACTAACATTGCTATAGTACACCACAGAAATTCGAGACAGCTTCGAACGTGGAACAGCACTATGAAACGGGCAGTGCTTCTATTTTACATGGGAAATCTTCTCAGAAGGAAACAAAATATCCTTACAGGTGCCGGATATCTCTGCGTCGGAGCCCTACAGGCAAGCCGTCCAAACACCGACTAAAGCATGCTCTTCCTCCATGCTTTGGTGGCCAGAGTTTCTATCTTTTTTATCCCGATCACACCGCGCGTTGCTTCGTCTTCGATTGCCTCGACGACGGCTTGCCCTACCACGTCGACCTGGAGAGGCTTCTCCGTCATGGCTCCCAAGAACTGGAGTTTTCCGCCTAGGAGAGCATTGATTTCCGAGCCGATAAACCCACCCAAGGCTATTGGCAATGTGAGCTTCCTGCTGGAATCATACATGAATGCAGGTCGCACGAAGATACTCCGCAGCTGTGGAAGCGATGAGGCTATGGTTTCCTCCGCTTCCCTCTTTGTTGTTATATATCTGCTGGGGAGAATGGGAGCACCTGCAGCAGCAGAGATGTACACGAATGTGGGGACGTTTTCGTAGGAGGATTCCTGTGCCAGTGCGATAGCTAATTATCATTGAATGTGAGTGTATGATTCACAGCGACCTTTTTTTGTCAGGGGCGTACCTGAATCCCTATTCATGATCTCATATGTCAATTGGCCATCTTTCTCCTTTGGCTCGAGCGCCTCTCCCTCTTTCCTTTGCAAGGGATTTTGGCTGCCGAGCCTAGACGAGCTGAACGCTCTCTGTAAGCCACTGATGATCGATTCCCTCCCTTGTACGACGCCTTTGTAGTCTGCCTCTAGTAGGATTCCCATGGTGTGTACGACGGCGCTCGCATCTTTCAGGAACGGTTTGTACGTGCTGGGTTTCAGGATATCGGCCTTGGCCCACTCGACCGAATTCGCCCATCCTGGCTTCTCGGGAGATGAGGTGACTACATCCCACCGCGGTTCACCCGATCGACTGTAGATTGCGACCCATTGAGCATGGATCGCATATTGTTAAATTGTATAGACAAGACCGTACCTTAATGACGTTACCGACCAGCCCCTCGCGACGGCGTGTTTGCAGATCCTGGAGCCTGAGGTCGTTCTGTCAGCGTTTCAATCTTATAACGATTGTAGCGACAGCGAAAATGACAACGAGGACATGATTTTGTTGTTTGTTGGCTTTCAAGTTTCACTTACCTAGGAATCCGCTTCCTCCCGCGACCACGATTCGCTTCGAAGCCATTTTTGTCTCGAGATCAATTGGCGTCAAAACTGATATTGTACGTAGGGATAAAGGAATGTCCGTCAAGGGGCCATATTTCTTTTATTTATTTTGCTGGTCGTTCGCAGCTAATTATTGTGATCGTTTCTATTATACGATTTAAATTCAGTGGAGCTCTCCGTCTGGAGCTTCTGATGCTAGTTTCCGAGTCGGATGACGACACTGCATTCTGGACCACGGTCACGTGCTAGTGATTGCCGCGATCGCGGGTTATTTACCGCGGATTGTTACCGTCGCCTTTCTCTGGGTTCATAGTATTACTTTTAACGGCAGGCGCATTATTTGCATCTCCACTACTGTCGCGTCATATCAGGACACCTTGCCACTGTCGTTTATTGAGACTTGATCTACCGTCATACAACATGCCTGCTGCCACAGGGACAAAACGCGTTCGGGTACGTTCGCCAACTGCGGCGATGGTATTCAAAGGCTAACTATTCTCTGCAGGGGGTTTCGGTCTTCAGACCTTTTGGTTCGTGAGCACTGCGCATTGCAACAGCTTGGTTTTATCCTTACTGTTTACTGACTTCAACAGTGTATGGCAGCGAGGCACAGCCCTTCGACCCCGAGAATCGACCGCCCCACGCTCCTCCGGACCACACCCATCAATGGCGCGTCTATGTGAAAGGGGTCAACGACGAGGACATTTCTTACTGGTTGAAGAAGGTCCAGTTCAAGCTGCATGAGACGTACGCACAGGCGGTGCGCACGGTTGAACAGCCTCCGTTCGAGATCACCGAAACGGGATGGGGTGAATTCGAGATCCAGATCAAGCTCTACTTCGTCCCCGAGTCGACGGAGAAGCCTCAGACGCTATGGCACAGCTTGAAACTGCACCCGTACGGCCCCGACATCGAAGGCAAGAGGGAACGTAGGGAAAAGGTGATAAGCCAGAATTACGAGGAGATCATCTTCAACGAGCCGGTGGAACAGTTCTATGACATCCTGACGGGTGGACCCGGCCCTGCCCAGCAGCCTTCGAAGGGGAAGAGCGGCAAGAACACGAAACAGGTCCAGCAGACTGGGAGGACGGCCGAGATTCCGCTCAACGAGACTCCGGGCAATCCATACAGCAGAGAAACGGAAGCCAAAGAGCTCGACCGGCTGATAGAAGCCCAGAAGACGGTCGAGCAGATGCTGAAGGAGGAGAAAGCAAAGCTGGTCGAACGGGAGAAGCGGTTGGCGGAGCTGAAGGCGACTGAGGGAGTGCCCGTTGTGACGAAGAAGAAATGATCAGTTCGCGCTCTATATCTGTGTTGATAAGGATAAGCTCGACCTTCAGTCTTGCCTGTGAAGTTGCGTTGCCATCTCGATCAGTCGCATCGTGATGTGCCGGAGACTGTTCGGCAGTCGAGGACTGTTGGACGTCTGAAGGGACAAATTTGCCCAGTCTCCACACGATGAGACGTACGAGCGACCTGCCTATGCTCGAGCTTTACAAACAGCAAGATGACTAGACGATATGCTCGTCGACTGCGGGTTAGCTCGATGACGCAGCACGAGACGTGACTTGGTATCTAGGAGGACGACGCAGCGTGGCATCTGCCAGCTACAGCAGTTCACGCATTTGTCATTTGTCATTCGTCACCTAGGTACTTGCTACCTCTATCCTGTACATATTACATATATCCCGTTTGTCATGGTTTGATTTGGTCTTGATCGATCTCTGCCGCTGCTGCAGGGGTGGCCCAGCTCCGAGATTCGGGGTGCTCGTTCACTCGACCAATTCAACTCCACTATGCAATCGAATCAAGATCAATAAATCCATAGAGGAGATCTCTTCGCTCAGACAAAGACGTTATCAAGCAGAGGGGAAAAAAAGGTACATAGAACTGGGATTCAGATCATGCATGCCTAGTAGTATCAATTGACTTCTCTTGAAAGCATTGTACAGGAATTGTGTGTTAATGTCAAATGGCCAGCAACATTTTATTCCCAACACACCCGTTAGTCCTTGTAGAGCAGGTGTCTAAAAATACAAGAGCAGAAGCGAATTAGATACATGATCAATTTTCCTTCTCCCCTCCCCATCCCCCCAATTGAACTAATGTGTCTGGTCATTTGAGTTGTGCGTATGGCCCCTTCTTAAGTCTGAAGGATCATGGACGAAACAGAGTCACTTTCTGCAGTTCTGGTTCTCTTCAGTATATCAGCGACTGGTCCAAACTTGGATAACTATTTTTTTAATGCTTTTACCTGATATAGAAAGTTCTCAAAGTACCAATCCTCGCATTCGAACCAGAAGCCATCCTCACGAAGAACTCAAAGACCATCACCGTCGCCGCCGCCGTCGTCGTTGAAGCCGTCATCTTTGTAATCGTCCACCGCGCCGCTGATAGCGGCAACTCTGTGAAGAATCCACTGCATTTCTAGCAACTCAAAACTGGGAAGCGGGTGGGTTTCGGGATTCTCAGTGACGAGTGTGATGACATCTCCGGAGCGAACCTCTTTGTTCTGATAACAATTGTACAGATGACGTTCTGCCGGAGTCGGATGAGATCTGCGGGGAGATACGGGCGTGAGGAGGGGAAGACTCCTACCTTTATTTTCTGATAATACTGGCGAAGCCAGAAAAACTGCACGTCCATGCGCTTCCTCTCCTCGGCGAGCGAGACGGGTTTCAGCGCAAACCGCGCATTGCGCCAGAAACCGTGGGCCGTTGGAGTCAGTGTCACAAGGTTGTAACAGCAAGCCTCCTCCTCCGTCTTCTTCTGTTCCGTGAAGATGATGGCGGCGTTTTTCCATTTTTTGACGCGGGCGCTGGACCAGAACTCGTCAAGGATTAGCTAGAAAAAGTCACGGGGGGTCGTCATATTCCTCATCGAGGAGGGATAAATATGAGCGACGTTTGTGAAATCGCCCAACCCGGTTACGATGCACTGTTGTTTATCTCTTGCGAGGCACTAAAATTTATATATAAGCAAAAAATTTGTCATGAAGTCTGGCTGAGATGAACCTGCCAGATCTCGTTCTTTCTGGAAACACAACATCTTCGAGGGTGTAATGGGGTGTTGCGAAGAGCTTGGGTTTTCCGGAGAACTTGGCCTTTCTTGAAGATTATGCGTTGGTGTCACTGGAGGTATTGTGGGTGCAGATAATCCACCTGGAGGGGTTGAAGCCCTGGAAGAGGGTGCAGAAGGCGGCGCAGAACCTCCCACAGAACTAGATCGTCTTTGATAACGTTGGGTCCCTGCGAATCTACATTACTTTGTCGTCACAAGAAATAATGGCGACAAATAAAAACATACATAGTGGGACCAGTTTCTCTATGTCATCGGCATGAATAAATGCATAGAGCGTAAAAGGGTCCAAACCAGCAGCTCTCTGGACGAACTGCTCGAGTTTCTCAACATCACTGATCCACAGAATGGCCCAGAGGGTCGTGGAGACTTTTCCATCCGTCTTTGACTTCAGAATACCCTCCAGCTTGTTAATGAGTTCGATTCGTCTGGGGTCGTGAAACTCTTGACCCGGCGCTCCTGGACATATATCTTCTGTTGCAGCCTCCACTGCGTCATGTGGCGGCCATTCAACTGATGCCATTACAAGCTCCCTGCTTGATTCGAAGGATTCTAGACAGATTGAAAAAATTAGTATCCAGGCTGATGGGTGATACCTAAGAGGAATGGATGCAGGCGAGAAGTGGGGATGTGGAGTGAGAGGCGTCGATCATCAGACGGGACATAGCCTCTTTTGAAGTAGCATCCATACCTTAAATCCTTTCTAAGACGAGCTTGTATAAATTTCGTCTAGATGGGCAGAGAGGTCTGAGAAGAAAGCAGATCAATTCTGATGTGAAAATAAATATATACACGCTTGGTCACCAGTTCGAGTGGCAGAGAGAGAGAAGAGAGGAGAGAGTGAGAGCTGTTCGTCAAGGGGAGACGCTCTTTATATACACATACTGGGTCAAAATAGGCACCACCGACCAGTGACTTGATCCAAGGCCCCAACCAATAAGACCACAAAATCGCCTGATTGCATGCAAAGTCATTTTCTTTCCATCCACCTTGTATTCCATAGATTCCCCAGTTTTCCCCCAGAATACTGTGTTGATCACGTGTTTTGATTGGTTGTTTCTTTAATCTCTGTAAAGTGGTCGGTTCTGGAAGACTACCGCGCATATAGCGAGCAAATTTAATATTACTGTTTAACCCGCTCATGTCATCCTATTATATCAGTATATTACTATCAAATCCCGCCAGTTCTGATGGCTTACTATCACGAATAGATCTCGTCTATCCAATCCAGAAAGGGCACTGGTTTATCAATTAGGTAATACAATAAATTTCCTAACCAATCTAGCTATTTATGTGACTACAGTATACCACTAGTTAAGTACAATACATGCAGCTAATCCTCATACCACGCAGCAGCCTTGGTCTCATCCCTCGTCTGCTTGAGAAATGGTATCAGGGCTGTGCCGCCGGTGCCGAAGAAGATCCCTTGGTCCTGCGACGGTGACGCTGACGATGATGCACTGTCAAAAGAGGATGAAGAGGGGAAGGGGAATGCAGAGGAGAAGGACGTTCCATCGGGACTTTTCTCGGACTGAGGTGACGACACGGAAGAAGGTGAAAAGGAGGAAGATGGGGAATATGATGATGGTGATGATGATGATGATGACCACGATGACGACGATTGTGACAGCAAGGTGGCCGTTGCTAGGTTGAGTCTTTTCAAAACTGGAAGAGCTGATGTAGATGTAGGTTCTTCATTTGACCTCGGTTGATACTGTTGCTGCGGCGGCGGCTGCTGTCTCGCCTGGGCGATGATATACCGCGAGACGATCCGGATGTGCTTGTCGCGGAACGACCCCAGCATCATAACTGCGGCATTGTATGCTTTTCGCACGTCTGAGGCAGCCGGCAGGCTCATCGCGTAGGGTCGGATGTTGGCGATTCTGGCTACGTGCTCGAGGAAGCGGCGATGGGGGCCGGGCATGTAGTTCCGCATTTCCTAAACACAAATCATCAGCGTTTGCCTCCACATTTTTCCTGCTAGCGTCAGATGTCATCATATCATACCATCATAAAAGCACCGTGAGGTGATGTTGCTGAAGGAGTGGCCTCTCCACTAGCCCAATGCTGCACACCGAGAGCGATATCAAACAGCTGGATGAGCGAGCTCTGCGCATTACTTCCGCCGCTGTATTGCCGCCATTCTCCCACTCCTCCCCCACGGTCGTAGAACACACCGTTTGGGAGCCCTGCGGCAGCCATGTTCTTGCTCCCAGCCAGGAGAGGCCGGATCTGATGGTAGAAGACGGCCGGAGCGCACTTTTCGTACATCCTCTCGAGGATCTTGGACAGCTCCGCAAGGCACTCGGTGATCTGGACGAGGAGCTGCGTGACGCGTCCCTGGTCGTGCAGGTTGACAGCCTCGATGGCGTTGAGGACCAGAGGAATGACCTTTGCACCGCATGCTTCAATGGCAATGGAAATGACGAAAAACCACCGCTCGTCATCAGTCCCCGTGAAGGAATTCAGAACCGCCAGGTTGTCTGGCTCAGTGAGGTCCTCCTGGCCAGGACTCACCGTGGTGAAATTCCACAGGTTGAGCGCGGCGTACGTCGCGCAAGGCGGTAATTCCAAGTAGGAGGATACTTCTAGGAACGGACAAGCGATAGAGGGAGGTAATCTCTGCATGCAAATAAAACCGTCAGAACTGAAATATAAATAAGAGAAAAAAAATAAAAACTTTTCATGTCAAGAGAGTGCAGTGACGACGAACATTTTCAGGCCGCTCTCCGCCCCAGATATAGCCATGCGTTAAAAAAGCGAGCACCGAGTATGCCCTCCGCCATTCGGGTTCGCTGTGCAGTTTCTCTGTAGACAGGACTGGCAAGCTTCGTACTGCCTGTCTGATATCCCCGCTGCGAATGAGGGCTGGCAGATCGGCCATGATGTCCTCCCATGGATTGTAATACGGATCTGGCAGCCGCCGGAGAGGCGGTTCGGTAGGGAGGAAGCCATTCTGCACGGACACAGAGTATTCGTCCAGCGAGATGTTTGATGATGATGATGCTGACATCTCGTCGTTCGTTGTGGATGGGATGCAGAAATTGAAAGAAAAAAAAAGTGATTGCGTTCGAAGACGTATCTATCCTTCGAGCGTATATACCCTAAATGGGCTGGCCTATGAGACGGGAAACAAAGAACTGTCGGATCTTTCCGGGTCAAAGAAGATTCCGGTCATCTGGGACACGCCTATGCCATCATCTCAGAAAGATTAGATGACAATATGCGTAGTATTATTGGCAATAGTAATCTGCGATAGACAACCTAGGTATGAGCCAGGTTGACGCGGAAGCGGGAGCGGAACGGAAGCGGATGCGGCAGATGTCATCCATGGATAATATACATGACATGCATGTACAGTCTGTACAGTGAATGAAGTATATCAGAACATGGAGCCAGGCTTAAAGGGCGCTGTGTTGAGTGAACTCGCAGTCTCAGAGAATTCACTGTTTACTGCTATGTTTTGTGTTTTGCCACTCAAGGTGTCGTGAACTTTCTTTGTTTATCATAAACTACTGTCCAACCATCGTGCCCTAATTAGATACACGTTCTCTACCAAAACACACATCTTCCCATATCGAAAAAAAATTACGCAGATCACACAACTTCCAAGCACAAGCACGAAGATGGCTGAGCCAAAAGAGCCAAAAGCCAAGCAATCTTTCCCTCCTGACGCTGTGACCCGCGAGTACGCCGAGTCACTCGATGCAGCTGACCCTCTGCGTGCGTTTCGTGACAAGTTCATAATCCCGTCGAAAGAGAATCTGAAGACCAAGAAACTGGCCAAGCCTGGTTTGTTAACGAATGCTAAAGAGACAAGCAGACCTGATACTGATTGTATTTTCTTTTCTTCTTTTTTTACAGGTCTCTCACCAGAACCATGCATCTACTTCTGCGGGAATTCCCTTGGTCTCCAGCCGCGAGCTACAAGTCAGTATATGGAGGCCTATCTCGATACCTGGTCGTCCATCGGCGTCATCGGCCACTTTCGAGATCTCGAAGACTCCCCCCTCAAGCAGTGGCAGCTGCTCTCGGAGCAGGCTGCGGAGCAGATGTCGCGTCTGGTCGGCGCTAAGCCTGCAGAAGTCGCTGTCATGGGCACGCTGACTATGAATCTCCACCTCATGCTTGCCAGCTTCTATACTCCGTCGCAGACCAAGCACAAAATCCTGCTGGACTGGAAAGCGTTCCCCAGCGATCATGTAGGCCAATCATCTCGTTAGACTTGTGAAACTTTACGACGCTGACAGATATACATATAGTACGCTATTGAGTCGCAGATCAAGTGGCATGGACGCGACCCCAATGAGTCGATGGTGCTCATCGGCCCCGATGAAGAGGAGCACGTCATTCCTACTTCCAAAATCTTGTCGATCATCGACGAGCACGCTTCTGATGCGGCCTTGCTGCTGCTGCCTGGTATACAATACTACAGCGGACAGCTGTTCGATATTGAGACGATCACTCGCCATGCTCAGTCCCGCGGCATCGTAGTCGGATGGGATCTGGCGCATGCGTATGCAAACGTTGAACTCAAGCTGCACGACTGGAACGTCGATTTTGCGGTCTGGTGCACGTACAAGTATGGCAACGCCGGACCCGGTGCCATCGCCGGCCTGTTCGTTCACGAAAAACACGGCACTGTCGACTACAGCCAGGGCGAGGACAAGCCCGTCTTTAGACCTCGTCTGACGGGATGGTACGGAGGTGACCGGGCTGTTCGATTCAAAATGGACAACAGTAAGTCTTCACGCCTTGGCCTCAATTCGACGGGACTAATAACTAACGCATGCCTTTCAAGAATTCAAGCCAATCCCCGGAGCGGGAGGTTTCCAGGTCTCTAACCCGTCAGCGGTGGATCTGACCTGTCTTTGTGCTGCCCTCTCTGTATTCAACAAAACTTCGATGACTGAAATTCGCAAGAAGTCTGTCCGCCTGACCGGGTACCTAGAGCACCTCTTGCTGGAGGGGACTACCGACGAGTCCCGTCCATTTCGCATCATCACTCCGTCGGATCCCAACGCGCGTGGCGCTCAACTGAGCCTCTTGCTCAAGCCCGGCCTGCTCAATCAGGTGGCGCAGGCGCTGGAGGACGCCGGCATCGTCTGTGACAAACGCGAGCCTGACGTCGTGAGAGTCGCCCCGGCGCCTTTGTACAACACTTTTACCGAGGTGTGGGAATTTGTGAAGCAGTTCAAGGCGGCCTTGGCGATGTGATGCAGACATTGTCTCATTGCATTGCATTCATTGCAACAGAGACATTCTCCGTGATGGACCTTTCCAACGGTTAGATGACCGCACTTGGTCAGGTCCTACTCTCAAAATGAGAGAAAAAATTAAAAAAATATATTAAAAAAAAGAAGGAAAATAAAGAAAAAGGCAAAAGAAAAAAAAGGGGGGGAAACGGAAAAGAAGAAATCAATAAAGCATCATGTACGAGTATCTACCATCTTATTTTACAAATTGCCGGTATTAAACCAATCCTCCGCACCTCGAAGAAAATCCTGACCCTGGGAAAAGAAGTTCTCCGCAAGGATGGAAAACTCGTCATTGACAAGATCCATCGAGGCTGTTGTCGGTGGGATTCCTCCTGTATCTAGGGACTGGCTAGCCGCACATCCGGAAGAAACAATATTATTATTATTATTAGGGTCTCGATCTCGAGAGGGTTGTTGCGACGATGACGATCCTCCCAGACGCGTAGGTTCAGGTAGAGGCGATGTACTCGATACTTCGGGGGCAGTAGCTGGCGGCTCGGAGTACAGGGACGGGCCAAAGAGGCGTCGTCCGGCGGTGGTGTCTGAAAACCAGACGCTCGAGTAGTCCAGAATCTCCCAAAAACGAGATAGGTCGATGAGAAGGCTCTTGTTCTGCGTTTGGGCGTAGGGTAGGTAGGATGCTGAAACGGCTCCTTTCAGGTCTTGCAGCTTATCTGCCTGTACCCTAGATCAGAACACAGTAACGGATCCAAAATATGGGACGGATGATCATACCATTCGCGCCATGTGCGGCCACTCTTTCCCCAGTTCTCGCACAAAGTTCACGCAGAGCGTAAACCTGTCCTGTTTGTCCTTGCGGATGGCGCTGTCTTCCGTGAAGCTGAGCTGTAGTTCAATGGTGGCCACCACGGCAGCACTGTATCCGAGAAACGGATCCGACACTTTGAACCCTTTCTCATTGAAGAATTTGATAAAGTGGATGATCCACGTCGTATGCGACGATATCAGGTCTGACGAGTGCTGGAGGAAGATCTCAGGGATCGTGCTGCGGAAATTTCGAAGACTCAATGACAGGAGAAGCGGGTGGTTGAGGAGGCAGAGAATGGTGTGATACAGGAATTGGTTCAGAAACCAAGGACCCCAGTAGTCGCGGTTGGACTGGAGGTCTTCGGTCGACCTCTCGGCAAGATTAGCATACTTGAACCGATGGGTATAGGGCATACGCGTCTCGACTTCCATCTGCAAAGAAATGATTTTGGAGTATTCAGATTGGGGGGACCAGGGCGGGAAGTCATTGGGCTTCCCGCGGCGCTTGATATATCTGGCCGTTCTTGAGAATACCTCAGTGATAATGATCACATAGGCGACGATCCCCTCGTCCTTCACGCTGCGAGTCAGTCGAGCTTCCACGCCTGAGTGATCAGAGACGCAAATATCAGGCGGCATGCCCGTGCTTTCGGGCCAGGCAGGGACGTTGTCTTCGCCGGCCAAGTCGAGCAGATGGAAGTCCTCCCCGTGGAGACGCCTAAGAAGACAGATACTCCAGAAGCAACGCCGCCGTTCTTCACGAGCCACCTGGTTTGGCACCCGCTGGGTTTCGGAACCCAAGTTGGCACATTTGGCGAGATTCATGGCCAAACTAGTATATATACTTGCATGATGAGTATTGCCGTCTGAATTACATTAGTTTTGGAAGAGCAAAACAGCGGGAAGCACTTACTAGTAAAATCAACCAGACTTAAAAGACAGAGACATTGCAGGGTTGAAAGCTCGACCGGGCCTTCCAGCACCCTCTTAATGACGAGCGTCCGTGCAGACTCGGCGTAAGTCGTAATCAGATCGGTGACATTATCAGTGTTTTTGAAGAAGGATGGAGGACAGAAACGGATTGCCAATGCCAGAACAGCGTAGATGATTTCAGGGTCACGCTGCCCCAGGCTGGCCAGGAAAGTGGCCCTGTGGAAAAGGGGGAGGGGCTGACAATCGCAGTAAAGCAAGTACAGCTCAGCGATGGAGACGACCTTTTCCCAAGGCAACGTCGTCGAGACTGTCTCGCGAGTCGATGGAGGAGAGACAGAGGCACCTCTCCGTGTCGACGGAGGGAAAGGATGAATATGATCGTTTTGTCTGATGAATTAGATTACATCAATCCATTCAGTCGAGCCAGACCTACCCCAAGCTCTCAAGCACTGCTGTCATCTTAGCCTCTAAGCTGGAAAGACGATCCTCCTGGTAAGATCAGTAATCGCATTGTCCGATCAGAGCGAAAGTCCAGTCATACCACAGATGGAGGGGCCTCAGTACGCGATGCAACAGAGGCTCTGTCCGGGGGAGAAGTCAGTCTCCCAGAACCAACCCCGCTACGGGCGTATCGGCATGATTGGTGTAAGCGCGCACAGTGCGAGCAGACTGGCTGCTCGCCGGAGCATTTTCTCTTCTTGCGCCTGGCATGCATCAGTCAAGCTGCAGCACATGTACTGTACATTACAGCAAGTAGGAAACTCACCGGCATGGCTCACATGCCTGGTACACCCGCTTGAGTGGCCGCTGACGAGTCGACATCCGCTAGAGCATGTCGATCATCAGAATATTGCGGGTCAGATGTCCTTCTACGGTGATATCAGGTTGTATTGCAGGATACTAATGCACGTTGTATAAACCAGAATCCACTGTCTTGGCAAATGCGGAGGCGGAGGTGGATCTAGAGCTTACATTATGTAACGTGACTTCGCCAGAGGAAGGGTCTAACTTAGATGACGCAGGAGGCGAGAATTGCAATATCAACATAGAGATCATACAGATACTGATAGCTGGTAATTACATGTATTCTGATTTGGTAAGGTGGAGCACGAGGTACGCCTCTATACTTGGAACGAGTATAGCTAGCTGATCTACAGAAACGAAACCTTCAATTCCGATCCATATTCCAATCGAGACTTAGTGCGATCGATCAGCAAAATTTTATTCATCCTGATCACATGTACAGAGCTACATACAAGGATCTATCACCAACAAAAACTACATCTAGGGAGTGCTCCAGCAAATTTACTCTATCGGCCGAATCACCACCGTTGAAAACACACCTGACAGCCTTCTAGAATGCGTAAAATATCACAACCAATCAGGGCTGCAGAGAATTCCGAATAAGCAATCAATCAATCGGGCGAGTGGCAACTGAGCAACTTCCGATGCCTGCAAGATTAAGTAACTGTAGATCCTGGCCGAGAAAACGCCGTTTCCGGTACGTCATCGTCCGAGAAAAAATAGATATAAAATGAGATATCTATCCATAAATAAGAAAAATAGGATACTTCAGTATTTCTCTTCAGCTCACAGACAGTCTCTCCATTTTTCTACTCTCCTAAAAAAAAATTCCAGCGATAAAATAACCGATTGTGCTACTTGAACTTTCCACATGACCCCACCATATTACCACCACCAACCCAAAGTCAGTTCCGATAGCTACGATATCGACACAATCGACACAATCGATATCAACGATATCAAACCCTATAATAACACGCCGTCATCATCATCGTCCTCCCTCCTCAGCAAAATAAAACGCCGCCTCAATCTGCGCGCCATGCGCGAGAAATGGGCAACGTCCTGGGCGCCCCTGATGGCGGCCAAGAGCCATCTGGATTCGGAATATAATTTCCCCAAGGGGAGGTATGCTGGGCAGGGGTATTATCGGCGGTGATTTACGCAACCTACCTAGTTTGAATGAGCGGCAATTATCGACTTTTCGACGGTATCGTACCGGATGAATGAATGACGAATGACGAAGGAACGAAAAAAACGAATGGATTTTCCTATTGTGGACTCCTCAGGATACGATCAGACCATACCATACCTTACCTTACCATCAATCAATCAATAGATCAATCATCGATCGAGCGATCAACAAAGAAAAGAAATTGCAACGGGACGGAAATGGAATCCCATCACAAGGGAAGAGGTGGAAATAAGAATTGACAAGAAGGATCAGGGACGAAATAACGAATGGATGGATGGATGAACGAATGAACGAATAACGAACAGCCAACCCTTCGATACAACAACAGCAACAACTCGAGTCAACAGCCTTTCTTTACTCTACTACTCACTTCCATTATATGTACTGTACATCACCTATGATGATATCCATCACCTGGTAATCGACAGACGCATCCAACGAGATTTTTTTTTACTTACGAAACGAGATGAACACGAACGAATTATTCACGAATGCATAGCATATCCACTGCGACGTGGTGACAATTCTTTCGTCAGTTCTGTATACTAATTGATACTAGAATTTACGGTGTATCACGGCTCTTCTTTTTCTTCTCTTCCGGTCTACTCTAGCATTATTCTTACCTGTTGGGAAATATTACTTGGATAATGGATCAATCAATCAATCGGAAAGAAATATCCACTGTTTGTAATGCGGTGAGGTCCACTGTTATATCTATCTATCGATCGATCTACCTATCCATGTCCGTAATTAACCGAGGAAAATAAGGAAGAAATCTAGTCTAGAATATCCAGTCTAGACAGTCGCTCTAATGACTGTAGAGACAAACGACCTGTCTATTCACTCCCAGCCAGCTCATTTCTTGCCCAGAATCTTGATCCGCTCCTCAACCGGCTTAAACTGTTTCTCGCCCGCAGGCGCCTCGATGGAGCCAAACACAAGCTGGGCAATCAGACGCCAGTCGTGCGGGATGTCGAACTCCTTGGCCACGTCGGCGTCGATGAGGGGGTTGTAGTGTTGCAGGTTGGCGCCGAATCCGAGGGACTCGAGACCGGTCCAGACTGCGGCAGTCAGTTAGTTTATCTACCTATTCTCGGCGTAAGGCTGCCGAGAGCTCAGTGGGGAAATAGATGAAGTCTATCTAGGCATAGAAGATCAATATATTATTGCTCCCTCTGGGGAAGAAAAAGAAGAACTGACTAGGAGCCGGCGTTGAGGTCGGCTCTAAATCTGCGTGGCCGGTTTGGCGGTCACGTGGTAACTGACAGCTGATTGGTCAGACCTGGCAGCTGCCTGAATGCCGTATGGGTCAGGCAC